TGTCTTTGAAGACTCATGTCCTTTTTTATCCTTTCAAAGCTGAGATGTGGAACTCATACAATGTGTACAATTTTCAGCTTCACTTTCCCATAGCTGATAACTGACTAATAACCCTGCCACACCCTGTGTACAAAGTAATAAGCAAAGTGGCCAGAGTGTGAACAAGGTGAACATAATCACTGCAGTAGTAGCCTACGTATTACTCATAGGCTGGGGTTTAATTCCATAAATCTCCTAATGAAACAGGTCAGACGAATTGAAAAGAAGAAGTAAAAATTCTGGTTTGGCATCTAATCTGTATGAAAAAAAATGGAAATTGAAATTATGCAAATACTACTCATAGTTTGTAGGCTGGTATGGAAAAAGAATAGAAAAAAATTTGTTGCAATGTAGCAATCCATATAGGGATGTTAGAAATGCAACACAGACCAGCAGTTTATCTTTCCATTCATGGCTAGATTGAGGAAACATTGACCTGGATTCATCACACTGCTGAGCTAATCTTCCCTCTTCCTCTTGGCAGTCAGAGGACCAGTTGAATGCAATTGGAACAATCACATGATTTCACAACTAACCACATTAACTGTGTGTGGTGATGAAAATGTAATATAAACGACACAGTGATTAAGCTTCTCAAGTACAACTTTGTGGATATAGAGTCAGCATTATTACTAATTCTAGGTTTGCTTGTTCAGACCAGCCTTCAACATATCATCTCTGCCCAAAGAAAAAAAAAATCCAAAATGGTAACTTTACAGGAAAGGGCAAAGACATTTATTTTGAATGTATGTTAATGGTCTGTGTGAAGGACAGCTGCTTTGCTCAAACGGATTTTTTTTTTTGACAACGACAATGTGATTGTAGCATGAGAAGAGACTGTATGACTGCAGGAGGGGAGAGAAGTCTGAGAACTTGGGCAGGAGTTTTGGGCAGTTTCTGCTTTAACCTAGGTTTACAGTGGTTTTCAAACCCATCCTCAGGGACCCATATGGACCCCAGAGACCCATCTCTATTCTTATGTGCTGTGAGTTAGGATGGAGCAAAAGTGTGGACCATCCAGGAGTACCTGAGGACCACTTTGAAAACCACTGAGCCAGAGGACTGGATTGTACTTCGTGAACAGAGGTAGGACTGAGAAATAAGGACTGAGGAACAGGGAGGACATGGGGTTGTCACAGGGGGAAAAACTTCAGAGTCACAGGAAATTGAAGATAGAGATGGAAATTGAAAGGACATTAGATTGGAAGGAGGAGCTTCATTTACATTTACCAGATGCTTTTCTGCAGAGCAAATAGTTAATCATGTTACAGAGGTAGACAAATGTAGCATTAGGAGTTTTGCTCAAGGACTTTTATTGGTGTAGCATAGAGTGCTTGTCTGGGCAGGGAACAGAACACCAGTCTGCTGAAGTACAGGGTGTCTCAAAAGTAAGGAAACGTGTTTGTGCTAGCAGTTAACCAGATATTTTGGCGAAAATTCATCATGAATGGGATTCAAAGATGAGCTTATTGAATACATTCTGTAGGCCTTACGGTCAATTTTCTGGCTTCACATAAAATCACTGTTTTAACATGAGAATAAATAAAGTTACATTGACACAAAGCACATTACTGTTTTTTTCTGGTGAAATTCTCTCCCCATTTGATGTGTCACACACCTGCTTTTCTATTTGTAAAACTATAGTTGAATCAAAGATGGCAGCATTCAAGACAGCCGCCATGTTGGTGACATGGCCTAATAGGTTTCCCCCTTCCCCCACTGCTTGTGTCTAAAATTGGATCACCGTCTGCCAAACTGTTTTCATTTTATATGGGTGTTTCTTACTTTTGAGACACCCCGTATTGCCCACTACACCACACCAATCGCTTCAGACATGCTGCTCCTCCCAAACCTCAGTTATTTCAAAACTCCATAAAATCTGCAGGCCAGCATCTACTGGTGATACTATGAAGGATTAGCTCAGTGCTTTAGATTCTAGGCTATTGTCCAACCATTCTGGTGATGACTAGTAGTGAACCTGTAGAGAATGCAGACATGTTATTTTTTCAAGATCAAGAATCAAGACTACATATCAATTACAGAATTTATTCAAATTCTGTAATTGATATGTCAGATTGATATGAGCAATGTCAGCATCTGACGCTACAAATCTTACGTCAGTGGGTGGCTCATTCCCTCTCTGACGCACCCCTCCGTTGCTCTAAACTAACCTTGCCTCCTACTGCTGAATCCCGTCACCAAGGTCTCAGACACGCTGCTTCCGTTTGTGTGGGGAGACACATACTGTATACAACTTTTAAAGTCTGAAAATGATAAAGTACACCTCAAGGCATTTCAGTGAGATTTCAGTTCTCTGACAGTTGGTCCTTGATCTTTGTCCTATGGTCAATTTAACAACCAAAATTTGAAACTGGGAAAATGCAACAAATCAAGTCGTATATTTATTTAAGTTATTTAATATACTTATTCTGTGTCTATTGTAAATTATACATACTGTAGTATGTACTAGTGCTATTTCATAATAAACCACTCAGCACATTTAGGGTCAGATGTGAGATGCTTGTCCACTGTTCACTGGAGCTAAACATCTATTTCATAACCTATAGGACAATAATTATCCATGGACTATTAGACCGCTATTAAATCAAGGCATTAAATCTGGTATAATAAGGCAGTTATTATTTTAGCACAGTTAAGTCAGAGTCAAGCAGGGGGCCTGGCTTCAGTGGCACAAAGCTCCCTGTTTAGCTCTCTGAAATGGCTGTTTCCGCTGTAGGACATTAAAGGAACCCCACACAAGAGCCGCAGGGGTTTAGTGGGGGGGCTGCCAGGGGAGTCCAGAGGACCAGGACTTTACACAGGGCCAGCTGGCACAGGCTGACTGCCTTCACTGAAAGGAGCTACTATATCACATCTTTGGATTGTAAAATTCTGGCTGACATTTCAATCAAAACGGAGATACTGACTTGGGTACACTTATGCAGCTGTCCTTTGAGTGTCTGCACTTGCCTTAATTTCTCTCATGAGGAAAGTCTGAAACTGAAAATGGATTTCTCTGACAGTGATGCAACTCTAAGCCAGAGCTACAAGTCAGACAAGACCTAATGGTGGTATTCAATCAAAGTCAAGCACAAATCTCTGCAAAACGATACAGACTTGGTGTCTAAACCAAGTTTCCCATACCTGTGCACATTTGGTGTCCAAAATGAAAGCCCATGTAAATTTAACCGATGAGATGAGCCAATAGCAAGGACAGAGTACTTACATTTTAAAGTAAGCCACAATATGTTAGTGTTCCAGCACTGTGGAGACTATGGTTTTGTTCCATCATCTCATCAAGCTGTTTGAACTGCTCTAACATTGACAGCCAAGAAAAGCAGAATTGCCAGTTAGGCGTCAAACAGTATAGTATTTGTGGACTTTTATATTTGTTAAAGACCTCACAGTGTCCATTTGTAAAATCTCTTGAACTCATGAAAAGATCACTTGTTAAATGACTGCCTCAATGGCATCCTCCACAAAGTATTTTCCAACTGAATGGGCCCTTGTTGTGGATCTTCTGTGCTAACTCCAGTGTGTCTTACTGTTTTGGAAAGATTTTCGTCTCTACTTGAGGACTATAAGACTGGAATGCATGGTAACACCATTCCGGTCAAACCTTGATGATACACAGAGACAGGTAAGCATGGAGAAAATTCACCTGACCAGAACTCTGTGGAAGATTCTGAAGCACTGAGCTAAAGCAGCACCAGCCCTGCTGACAGAGCCCAGGTCCACAGAGGTGTTGTGTTGGTAGCCTTGACAAAAACAGCAACAGCCTTAACTCTAAAGGAATCTAGGCTTCCAGATTATGCACTTGAGGCAGAGATTTAAGAATGTCGGAGAGCATTCCATGAGCAGCAGCGTCGAGAGCTGAGAGCAGCCCTCATGGCTGCTGTATCAGAGCCATCAGTGCTGAGATTCCTCACATTCTCTACTGCTGGAAGAATCCTGCTCAGTGGAAACATCTTCTCAAGTAAAACCTCTCGCTTAATGAAGGTCATGGGCCTATTCCGACATTCTGTAGAGGGTGTGGAAATTCCGACAATTTTTCATGCATAAAGTACTGTGCAAAAGACATATACTCACTCTTTAATTAATTTTGAGTCAAAATGGCCATAAAGCACAAGTTATTAATTTGTTCACAAGATGTTGCTGAGAAGATTAGATATAATATAATCCACCTGCATAAAGAAAGAGAAAGTCAAACAACTGAAAAAAACTGGATTAAAAAAATAATAAAAGATAAAGAGAAAATGGGATTTGTACAACTGTGCAAGACCACCAAAACTGTCACCTTCAGTACAGACAGTACTTTTTTACAGCTTTTGTCTTCGAGAGAAATGAGAAAATCAAGCTCCACTCTTGCTTAAGATCTGAAAAAATCCACACAAAAATCTTGTCAAAAACTTCTGGTGTGAGAAGACAACTCAATGCTTCTGAGTCTGAAAGGATGTGTAGCTGTCAAGAAGCTGTTACTGAGAAAAGAAAATCAAAATTTTGCAAATATAGATCTCAACATCACGGACCATGTTTGTATGTGTATTACTTAAATTGTGAGCAGCAGAAAATGCAACCAACACCAACATAAGTTTCATAAGACTGAACTTCGGAGATTTGGAAAAACATCCCTGCAGATTTCTTTGGAAACCTGAAAGAATGTAAGCTGTGACACAGGCACAGTGTGGACACACTAAAGACTGAAGATACTTATATTTAGTTGTTGAGGCTTCTATGTAATTTTCTGTTTAATATACATTTCCTGCCTTTTTTCTTGACCCTGAAAAAATAATAACTGGGCCATTTTGCCTGGAAATTACATAAATGAAGGGTGGTCTGACTTATGCACAGTACTGACAAGACAAATCAGAATGAACAGGGGGCAGGGTTTTTAGGGGTACAACAAACTGGTTATGTAACATACACTCAACTCAGTGAAATGAGTCACAGTACAGCAGAGGTCTATTGCAGTTTGTATCACATTACACAATGTTTAATAGAATTCTCTTGACTATTTTGTACAAATCAAAAACAATATTGCATTAAAACCCAATACAATCCCAATAAGGCCATTGCTAGCATACAGTTAATACTGGGGGCAGTGACCATAAGATCTGCCCTTTGTCAAGCAAGATCTACTTTTAAAAAAAAGGGATTTTGTGCATGAATGTAATGATTACAAAAAAACATGACCAAAGTGCATGACGCTATGTTGTCTAATGTGGTTCATTCAGAGTGATCAACACTTTATATTTTCACCATAACAAGGACAGCTTTCTTTGTGAGGTCTATCATGGTATGATGTGCAAAAGGAGGCCATGAGGCTAACATTCACCTACTGTTCTTTACCCCCAAGTTCCTGATCACTCAAAATGAAGATAAGCATTACATGTCACAAATCCCATCACTCCAAGTAATTTTCTTAGCAAAACCTAAACGCATTGGCAACCTTTAGTTTATGATCAAAGCAAATATAAAGAATAACCAGTGCTTTCAAAATAAGTCAGAAACTATCAGAAAGAAAAAAGCAAACAAAAAACACATTTTGGCTGTTCACACACTGACATGGAGTTGTAACTGACTTGCTGAAACTGAGGCTTGTTCTGGCCAGCATGACTGAGATCAGTACAGAATATTAAACTAGGATGACATTTCTTTTTCCTGTGTTTGTAAGTTGCAAAGAGCAAAGATCAGAATTCCAATTTGCTTGCACCTGGGTGTTTCATTGAAGCCATTCAAACAACATCATACAATTGCTTGCTGTGTTCTGTTGAACTGAAATTGAACTGATCTCAGTCACGGTGGCAAATTATAGCTGCTTTAGTACAGTACTCAATTTTATCCAGCTACATGAGACTAGACAAGAATGTCATCTCAAAATCAACACTGTCTAAACTGTGCTGTAACAGACAGTTTTAATCATAAGTTAACTTGACAGCAGTTTCATGGTTGACAGTAAATTATTGTGTTGGCATAAAAAACCCTGAGTGACCTACAGTGTGATGAACAACAGGGGTGTACTCATGATTCTGCAACATCATAAAACATGGCTACAGCAAGAAAGAGCTGAGAAAAGACATACAAGTTGAAAAAAAAACCAGACAAGATAATATCCTCTTTGTATAGAACTTCCAGTCAAACACAGGAGCTTACAAAAAGGCGTTTACATCAAAAAGGGTGAACTTTAGAACCCTTATATGTAAGCCACTCATTTTTCATTTGAATGAGTGCAGTTATTTTGAATGCAGAGGTCATCTCTGTACAACGTAAACATAAATGATCATGCATTTCCTACACCGTGTTTGGATTCCTATTGCGTTGATTGAAGAATATATGGCAGGTCCTGCAGGGGCTAAGATCACTCGCTCTGAGCAGATTCACTGACTGCAGAGGTGAGCTGCAACCGTCTCTGTTCTTACTGCTGCTTACACTCAGCCGGCTGAGGCTCCTTCTACAGAGAGAGAGAGAGCGAGAAAGAGAAAGGAGGGAGTGAGAGAGTTATTATGAACATCAATGGACTGAAAGAATTAAAGAGCAGAAAGATGAGAGAGGAATCTTAAAAAGGTAGAAGACTGCACGTGGGATTGAATAAACATACTGAAGAACGGCAAAGGAAAACAGAAAAACGTGGAACAATCATTTAGCTGCAGTAAAATACACAGAGGGAGAGAACTGCAGTGACATAAGTATTGGTGCAAAGAAGCAAATTAAAGGTCAGAGGAAAGATAAGAGACAAACACTGCACAAAGTGAGCTAAATACAAGATGGAAGTGGTGCCCCTTACCTAGGAATGCATGGAAGTGGAAATGAATCATGCCTGCAGTGAGGACAAAGGGGATGGGGGACAACAATCAGTTCACACACCACACATGCAGTTATCCTAACTGTGAGATACTGTTCATTTTTGGTCACAAACTATTGATGCACTGCATCTGACACTTAAGCAGAGCTGCTGAACTTGATGTGCAGATGTCAGTGTTAGTTTTACTTTGTTTATTATGAAACAGACAATATGAAATATTTACTTCTTCAGTAAATATAATAAGTCTACAAAGTATAAACACACATGGTTAAGTACCTTTGTCAGAGAAGTGCTTCAAGAAGCAGGGGCTTGTCCTGCTGTTAAAGACGAGTGCCAGCTATTAAGTATCAGTGAGAACATGTGTGTGGTGTTAGGACCCTGGTTGCTAAGTTACGTGGCAAGTCTGTTCTGTGTGTCTGCGTGGGTGTGGGAGTGTCTGTGTTCCAGATCTAGTACATCATGTAAGGAATACCAGTTCCAGTTCCTGATTGGCTGGTTCCTATTTTGAACTACCTTTAAAAAAGACCCGGCAAAGACTCCAGTGAGAGGCCAGTAACTGGGAATGTAAGGAGAGGTTGGTAACTGGGAAATTAGGGAGAGGTTGGTAACTGGGAATGTAGGGAGCCTGGCGCCATTTGCTTATCACTAGTTAAGAGTTTTGTGACTTGTGTCTTTTTTGGCTTGAACAGGTCAGGAAATGTTCCACTTTTTAGCTAGTTAGCCAGCCATGTTCGTTATTCTAGTCAGTTCTTGACGGTTTTCCTCTTTTTACTTCAACAAATAAGTGCAAAACAACGTAGTGACCGCACTTCTCTCCTCTGACATGGTCCAACCCAGACCAGGAGGTAAAAGAACCAGAAGCTTGTCTGCGATATGAACCACAGACCTCTCACACGTCCAATTCTGTTACATCCTGGTATTAGTTCAGGCCACAACAGGAAAGAGAAGTAAGCATGTGCGCGGGCCAGAGAGTTGACATGTAGGTACTGATCCCTCTTTGTGACCATCTTTCCCTGTCTTTTTTCAGTCTGTCTCTGCTGAACAGCCGAAGCTTTCAGTGATCAGTGCATGCAACTTGCTGGGGTGCTGGGTCAATTTCATTAAAACACTCAAAAGCCCTTTTGTAAGTGCAGTAAAAAAACTTCATTAAATCCACCTTTTTGTTTCTATATTCATCAGCCGTTTTATCATTTTATCAGCTCCACTTTCCATACAGGTGCACTTTACCCTGTTCTTTAATGAACAGGACCCCACAGGACCACCACAGAGCAGGTATCATTTGGGTGGTGGATCATTCTCAGCACTGCTGTGACACTGACGTGGTGGTGGCATCACCAGCGCAACACACACTAACACACCACCACCACATCAGTGTTACTGCAATGCTAAGAATGATCCACCACCCAAATAATACCTGCTCTGTGGTGGTCTTGTGGGGGTCCTGACCACTGAAGAAGGTGGAAAGGGGGCTAATAAAAATGCAGAGAAACAGACGGACTACAGACTGTAATCGTAGACCTACAAAGTTCTCCTCTATGATAAGTGGAGCTGATATAATGGACAATAAGTGTATAAACACGAGGGAGGTTTTAATGAAGTTGCCGGTCGGTGTACATAGATGACAATGAAAAACATAATGGACTTAAATCTGGATACTAACTGTGGGGTCAAGATCTCCTTCATCTTCCTCTTCACCCTCCTCGTCAAGGTCCTGGAACACACAGGATAAGTTTTCTTTCAAAACATGGTCGCCCACACACCTCTATTCTAAAAAAGTAATGGTTAACACTGATTTAAACATTTGCATAACTAACCTCCTCTTCTCCTTCTTCAAGGTCCTCCTCTTCAAACTGCACCCACACAAACACAAACAGCAAGATTTGAAAGCCAGCAAAGCATCACATACAATTCTCTGTCATTACAGATTACATAAAAGCAACTCATTCATTTAGTATACACTGTACATACAGAGAAAATCAAACATACCACATATTTTATCATTTCAATTTTGAAGTATCTAATATATAAAATATCTAATAAAATATCTAATATATAATAGCATTGTGGGATTAAAATCTGATTTTAAGGTAGCAACATACACTTTCATCATCTTCCAAAGCCTCTCCTGTGAAGTACAGCACTGCTCTGGGGATGATCCTCTCTCTGAAGAAATGACCAATTTCAAAATCTGTGGCTAGAGTGAAGTCCAGGTCCTCGTCCTGAAACATCACACACAGAACGCTTATTATTGAAATTAAAACAGTTCAGCGTTCAACACTATATTAGGTAAACTAATGTAAATTAAACAAAAGTAACTACATAACTTATGAAAACTACCTAAATTAGTAAAGAGAAAACCTAAGATAAGTTATATTTCCAAACAAACATATCATCCAAACTTCATATCTTATTTTCTAAGCTTTCTTCTGTATGTGGTGGATGGAGGAGGTGCTATTTTTGGAGTGGTGCGTTCATCTCAACACGATTTGAGCCTTATGCTCAAAGTAATGTAACACACTACAGTAGGTGTTGACAAGAAAACTGTTCTGACGCATAAAATGCAGCTGAAGATAGAACTGCTGGAACGTGAAAGAGGAATGTATGCAAATAGTGCGACATCTTTGACTCAGAAAGTGGGATGAAAAGACGCAGTTAATGTGGCTTTGAGGTAATGGCTGAAAGATGCGTAGATGGTCTGCTGAGTAGATCGCCAAAATGTTTACAAACAGTTGCGGAAGAACGCTCATTTAGGATGACTCGGGCCCACTCACCATCCCATCTGGAGATGCTGGAAGAAACAAGATAGAGGGAAGGAAGAACATTAATATCTACTTCGCCATTTTATTGTTTAAATCAGGCAAGTTAAAGAAATAAGGCAGGAAAAAGCAAAAATCTTTTCTGTTTATCTACCAAGTCCTCCAGTTACTCTCACTAACATTCAATTACATCATTCGCCTCTTAGTTACTGCTATGACGATGACTCGCCTCATCACAGTCATTTACAGGTAAGTGCCACACCTTTGTGTGGAATTCTGAGGAAACCACTTATCCTCCAACTGTCAAATACACATACACAGATACACACACATCCGCAAGCTAGTCGCACAAATGCTAAAACCACTCTTTCCCACAGGCAGGGCTACATTCTTTAACTGTTTGAGAATGACAGGACAAAAAAAACAAAAACACAAATGAGAAGGAGAATGCTCAGAATGCCATGAGACAATAGGAAAGCTATGCTTAGTGGAAGAGACATATGAGACATGAATGGAAATGACACTGCTTGGGTGAAGCATTGGAGGAAGTGCTTAGAGGTAGTGCTTAGAGGTCTTAAGATTTTGAAATGAAAAAAGGAAAAGTGACAAAGTGAAAAACTGAGTATCTCTTTCCATACCAAGACCAACTCACACTAAACGAGAACATTACTTGGAGTAAAAAAAAACAGGTAATGAATGACTGAACAAATACTGACCTAGGAAAAAGAACCTCATGACTACACACCTAACTACACTGGCATCACGTGAGCATGAGTCATTAGTTGTTCTCCTTATATGTTACACATACATTGAGTACAGCTGCCCACTGTGTTTAACATAAAACTAATAAACTGATAGAATCTGAGACAGAAGCAGAATATCTTGAGACCACACAGAGGAAAATGTAGTCACATGAGCCAATGTCACATTGCCAGAAGCCACAAATACAAAGTCACGCAAAGACCAAGTTCAAGGTGCCAGTAGCAACCAATGAACTTTTATTCATATTCCACGTTGGGCAACCAACCACTTAGAACTAATGTGCTCTAGTTTAAGAGACTGAGATTTGGCTTATGGTAATAATTAATGTAACAAAGAGTCTTTTCATTCAACCATTTACAGCCTGCATTGTAATGACTTTAATACACTTTCACTCATACCACACCAAAGCCATTTTCCAAATCACAACAAATGCCAGTACGTAACAAGGATCATGCTTTAAACCACATGTCAGGACATGCTCTCATTCCGAATTGCAAGCTAAGACACTGAGAAGTTCATCTGTGAGACGAGAAGGTTTTAAACAGTGTCATATGACATGCTGAAATATGTGAAGGACATTAGGACTTTAAGCTCATGCTTAGGAACTGAAATGAGTATGTGGTGCCACCTGGTGGACATTAGAGACACTAACAACCCACTTCACTTTGCAGAGAGGTAGTCAGTAGAACCTGAAAGCAGCACTTCCTTTAATATAACGTGTCTTACCTTTGACTGGGTTGAAGAAATTAAAGAAGGAATCCTGGGGCACTTCCTTGGTGATCGTCCTCACTGTTCCTCTACCTTTGTGTTTCTGCTTTTTCTTAATGGTCTTTACTGTTACATCCTTGCCTTTGTGCCAGTCGATCTTGCAGCTAGAGAAGCCAAAGACAGAACAAAACATGTAAAACTTCTTTTCTGCTTGAATGTATTGTATTGCTCTTTTACACTTTTTCCAATCAGCAGCGTTTTTTATATAAACATGTACAAGACACACAATCAATGCCAGCAGCCTAACTTCTCTTTACTGAATGTTATTTCATTTTTAACAGCACTACGTGTTGGTTGTACTGAAGGCTGTAGTGTTTCTCACCCCTCACAGTCCACTATCTCTGGCCCTTCAAAAGAAAAGGGGTCTGCTGAATCAGGCTCTGGTTTCATCTTGTAGACTTTGGTGAGGACGGTGTTGCTGAAGTAACTGTTGGGCTCAAAGTGGAACTCCAGTGTGAAGGTCTAATTGAGCACAGAAAACAGACCATCACTGAAAATAGTACTCAAACCAGCGCAATCAAAATTCAAAGTAATTTTCTGATGTTTGCTGACCCCCACCGCACCCAAAAAACAAACAAACAAAGAAACAATCTGACCATTGGCTGTCCAGGCTCTGACAATTTCAATTTGATATCTTGAAGGTGCTTCAGGATGGGCTCATCATGCTCCTGAAGAGAAAAAGGAACATATTAGACCAGGTGTAATCATGTCTCGAGACTACAGACAGCAAGCAAAGCCAAAAAAAGCTCAACTGATACAACTCAGCTGATATCAGCAGGACATGGTAAGTTCAGCTGCACTATACAGAATTGAAGCCACAAGAATAATCTTAAGTTTAAACTGCTGTGAACTTACTGAGTTTACAGAGTTACATCAGTCCAGTATGAGTAGAGATGCACAGTAATAATGGAAATATATCAGTTTCAGCAGATAATTGCTTAAAAAAATAGATTTTTTCGTATCAGACAAATTTATGGATTTGACCAATACTTAAGAACATACTGTGCTCCGGAATAACAATGTTAGCTACTGTGCTAAAATGTCTGCAGTTTATTCATTTTACTGCATTTGTGATCCCCAGATAATCTGGTCTGTAGAATGTGGTGCAATAGCTAAATAATATGGCCCTTTAGCCAGACCAGAAATGTTAGACATGCAAAGGTACAAAGAGCTTCCTCTTCCGAAAACCTTATCCTGCCACTATCACATTGCAACATGGCTCGGTCAATGACTAGACAAATGTTTAGTTATGGTCCTGTACATCCCTAATTCAGCTCCCACTGACTGAAGTCAGTATCACACTAGTTTTGAGATCAATGAATATTTTAATGAGTGTGGTGCAGGGCTGCTGAAGATGTTCCACCTGTAGCATTTCCCCCAGCATGTCGACATGTTTGAAGATGGTAAGCCAGAACTCTGGGATGCCCTTTGGGTCATCAGCAGGAGCCGATTCTTCTTTCTTCTCCTCCAGAGCGGCCTTCTTCTTCAGATCCTCCTGTCAAAACAGATTCCATCAGCTCTCCACTCTCTAATCACATGCCTCGTCTCAACAACTAAACTACTCAAAGGACTAACAGAGGTCAGACAAACATAAAATATATCTGCAGCACAGAAATGAGCTGGTTCCTGGACCCAGATTAATACAGTTCCTGATCAAAATCCAGAGAGTATGTAGTAAATATATACTCACAGCCAGCTCTTCCTCCTCCCCTTCACTGTGCCACTCGCATTCTTCATCTGTTGGCTCCACTGCTCCCGACACCACCTCTCGCCTCTGAACAACACACATACACTAATTATTTCTTGCACTCATATACAGCGGAAGGTTTTCCATCCACCATAATGTGCACATTTTAAAAAACAGGACAGAAATATAAAAAAAATTGGAATAAAAAGTATAAATCACTAAAGACAGTGTTACAAAGGTAAATACTGTGATGGACGAGACAATCACATGTTTTCTGTTCTATCTGATGATAAACACAATGGCAGATGAAAATCATCAGTGCTACTTTTGACATTCTTAGTGGTTTGATGGTGATGGCAAGTGAGAGTGACTTCAGGCCTCACTACCTGCCCTGCGTTTCTGAACCGTTATGGCTATAGCCATGTACAGGTGAACAGAGGGCTGATTGAGCTGCTCTACCAAGAACTAATAAAAAGTTCAAATCCCTCCTAGTGTGGTTAGTGAGACTTCTGTCTCGCTCCCATATCTATCTTTTAAATTTATCATTTTGCGCATAAGTGTAGTTGATAGTAGTTGCATTTTCTCTTACAGACTTTTAGAAATTCACCTCAAATTTGCAAAATGATTGAATGGAAACTGAATCTGCTAGTGGCATTATGAAATACTACCTCTACCTAATATCAACTTAAGTCCCCCTTGAGCTGGAATTCTTATAGCTTTAGTTTGATGTTTTGAAACCGTTACTGTTTTTTATAGCACAGTACTTCTCACCTCTATTCCTCTGGGAGCCCCTTGAACTACATTGCCGCATTTTCCCTGGTGTAACATCCCTGAAGCAAACTCAACAACTAATTATTAAGCCTTTTATATGCTGGATCAGGTGTGTTAGTGCAGAGAAAACAAGAAACTGTTCAGTTCAGGGTCACTTCAGGCTGAAGAGCACCTTGGTCTGCAAACCTCACTTGGCTCATCAGTATAGTTACACTCATACAGTCGTTTCATTACTGTACTGTACTGAATTTGGTTTGCAAAGTTGGAACATTTGGGTAGTGCTATAAATAAACAGGGCCCAGTTTCCCAAAAGCATCTTAGTGTTAAGATCATCTTAACCGGTAGAGTGTTCAGTGTGATGCTTGCTCTACTAGTTCAGAATCATCTTTGGGCTAAGATGCCTTTGTGAAACACAACCCAGAATTGCTGTCTGGGATACACACGTAAAACCAAATGCAGTAAAACGTAAATCAAAACTTGAATGTCATCTATAGTTGCTACTGTTGTTTGCGTTACTGTTAACCCTAGATTTGCGTGAATATTCACATGACGACAAAGGCTAAAGAGAGCTCTGCCTACTTTCACACTGCTTTTATGTGACTGGAAACAGGCCAAGCTACTCAATTAGGGTTTGAATGTCTATGTGTTTGGATTTGTAACTGCAGTATGCTGTACCATACTGCTCAGTGGAAAAACTGCATTTCTATCTATAAAACATACAGGGTAAGGTTGCATGTTGTTCGCAACAGGATGAAATTCACAACAGGAAAAGGGAATAACTTCACATAATTTTAGGAGAAGCTGTTTAAGTCAATATTGTTATATGTGATGAGAATTAGTGGTGTATGCATGCATGTACGGTTGTGTGGAAGGGTATGTTATATGTTTCCTGGGATGATCAGCCGTTCAAAACAAATTTCCTTTGAGGGAAAATAAAGTATATGCAGTTCAATACTAAATCTTCCCAGTCTAGCAAACAGCCAGGCCTGTATAAAAGCAGGCAGCAACTTGTTTGGATGAGGTATCAATATAGCAGTGCCCCAGCCAGCTCACAAGCCACCAAGCCAAGCCTGAGCTTCATGTCTACACGAGACAAAGGTCATGGCTGGTGTCTTTGGTCATTAGCTTACAGTGGCAAATAATTAGAAAAGTAGGAGCACATAGACTTAATTATTACTTGCCAGTATATAATGGCATGGTTGCTGAGGCAAAGTCAATGAAGTATTCCTCTGCTTATACAGTGTGTAGTGTGACCATCAGACAATATTAGTGCTTGAATCAATACAGTAACTGTAAACCTTGTCAAAGATGGGCTGGTAGAGACCAGCAAATTTCCTCTCCAGCTCATGGACTTCCTCATAGAATTTGGCTTCTATATGAGCACTCTGGACCTGCAGTCTCTTCAGAGCATAAACTCTCCTCTTCACCGCCTTGGGTAGGGCACTGACACTGGGTATCCTGCAGAGCATTTGGATTGTTAGGTATAGCAGAGCAGCTGTCAACGTGTGAAGTTGATTACAAAACACAAAACACTAAAAGTGGTCTCTATGTTAAGACACAGAAGGGTTTTAAATGAGCAATGCTATGAAATATGGCAATTTGGTACAGAATGTATTATGGATGGGGATGCATAATACTAGAATCATATGGGATACTGGCTTAAAAAACATTGGCGTTGGACAGATGTTAAGATTAGACAGGCGTTTCATATTGATATTTGAAGATGCATTTTTTGCAGAATGTTTAGAAATTACTGGGCTAAAATATCGCTAGAAATAACCACTTTATAAATATAACATTTCTATTCGTTTAGGGTAATTTATATCTCTAATGCAAATGCACACAGACAGTTCCAGTTTCTACATTTTAAAATATTTATGTTCAGCATCTGTATTGGCAAATAAGTACATGGAAAACACTGGATATCTGCTGCAGCCCTTATTTCCCTTATTAGTGCATCCCAAATGATGAATGCCTTGATACATTCATACATCACTGTTCAAAAGCATGGAATCATATGTCAATCATTTTTCACTTTTTGTGTACAACAATAACTTATACAATGTATATTTAAATATTACGAACTACACACCAAAGAGTATTTAGATTAAGTATTTTGGTAACAGTTAAACGTTATTAAAAGATGAATAATATTCTACAATTTTCTATTTACTGTCATTTCTTTTTTCAATTTATCTGCCTTGAGATTTGATCACCACTTTTAAAATATTAGGCTTTCTGAATATTATTTTTATTATAACTTGTTAACTGAATGTTATACAGCTTTTTCACTCATTTTACAATCATCTACAGCTCTGGTTGTTTTCATAGCTTCTTACAAGCAATTTGAAAACTATTAAGTTGAACTTCACTGACATCATAATAGAATCGGTGAAGAACATACATACACACACACACACACACACACACACACACACACATACACACACATATACACACATATACACACACACACACATATACACACACACACACACATACACACACACACATACACACACACATACACACACACATATACACACATTTTCAATGACTTCACACTGTTCTTCACCCCCTACACATTTATACACACATGTGGTGTGGGGTGAAGCCATGGAGAATAAAAGTGTGGAGGTTCTGTGTCCCTGCCTGCTGTTAGTGTGTGTGTATGTGTTTGTATATTTGTGCATGATGTGTGTGAGGGTGGACAACATGGACAGGCTGCTGACTGGCTACAGCTGCTAAAGGAGAACCCCATGCTGGCCACTTGTGATATTTTAAACATCTGGTATTTTTACATAAATTGTTATGGCTATATTGATTTTAAAAAACATCAATGTGGTGGATCCACCAGACCACTGAGTAACAAACACATCAACACCACACAAGAGTTAAATGGCTGCATTTTCCTCACTGCATTGCTTGTTTTCCAATTATTAGACAGATACTCATCCACAAAACCTCCATGCTTACCTTTCTGCTTCAGAGATTATCTCTGTTCTGTCACCCTGTGAGGCTTTATTTCCTCCCTTTCCTGTGTACATAAAAATTAATATAATATAAAGATAGCGGATAACCACAATTTCTACTTAACCTGCATCAGGATGAAGTGTCAGAACAAAATACCACAATTCATAAAACAGCATTTCTCTGATAATATCACTAAATTCACATGTCAAAAGATTTCACCATACTACAAATGTGCCACATAACAAATCATACCTCTGGCTTCATTCTTTTCATTTTTTCGTGCCTCCATTGCAAATCACCCTTTGGCTGGATAAAAGAAACACAGTAAGCAGTTTTTTTTGTTTCATGGCCATGTGTGCGTACTTTTTATTCATACACTAAAACAGTACATAGCAGTGCTGACAGTTTAAAGTCAGTGAATACTGGCTGGAAACACTCAACTGCACAAAGCAGCCACATGACTCGGTGTCAACTAGCAAGAGAAAAATTGTTCCCTTAGCAAGGGTGGTGTAAAGCTAAGTGCATTTCAGTCAGGACCCTCACACAGTACAGCTGGGGCTTGAACATGACAGCACACTCTGTTTCTGTCACTGAAGTTTCAAATGTTTATGTGACTGGTGTTCACTGGGCTTTCTCTCCACAGCTTCAACAAACTTCTCATCTACTTTTGTGATCTGTGCAGAAATATAGCCCACAGTATGGCCTAATACACTCTGTGTAGAAGTCTAAGCATAAAGCTCTACGGATATTTTGACACTTTAGCTATTGACAGTAGCCAACAAATGGGCAATGCTGACCAGGCTATCAGGTTTCAGAGTGGACCAGATGATTTAGGTAGGCCAGTAGTTAGACTCTGCACAACAACATGCATTACAATGTTAAGTGATGTTAAAGGATAATTCCACTGAATTTTCAAAATCTTTAAACAATTAAGCTTTTGAGATGCAAAAGAAAATCAGTTTAAAATCAGATGAAAAACAAAACCAGAGTAGTTTAATGTGAAATGGTGCCTTGCGGATAAACGTATTGACTGAGATTTCTTTACAGTGGTGGTGAAAGGAACCGACGGTTGCAGTGTCTGTAATACAAACACAACCATTTTATTTACCATCCAAAACAACAAGTGAACTGATTTGCATCTTCAGAGTTTGGTAATAATGCCAACTGTGCAACAATGGTAAATCTGAAAGAAATGCTTTTTTTAATGGACTATTTAGGGACTATTTTGCTTTGCCACATCCTACACGTACCTCTCAGCCATAATAATTATAAAAATATATGATTTAGGCCAAAACTTTGTTTCAGAACTGTTGTAAAATTATGCCTGAGGCAACTTATTTGTAACCATTTTGTGTGATAACGTTCTGTGGGGTACCTTTTAGAAGAATTAAAACCAAATGTCTGGGTATTATCACCACCAATGTGACCAAATCTGACTCACTAAGTTTCTCCAGAACTGAGCATTTCACATCAACACATTCTGACCGATTTCGTTTACATCTTAATCATTTCGTTATGAAGAAATTTTGAAAAACCGGTGGAATTCCCCTGTAAAGAGAAAAAAAAGGCTCATTTAAGCCTTTAAATGGGGGCTGTGACTTTAACTGCTGGTTTGACCTAAGGGATCCACCACACTGTGCACAAGAGAAAGTGTCAAACAGTCAAGTCAATACAGATTTCCCACATGGGCGCTATAGATTAGACTGACCTAGAACCAAAGCACAGCTTCATAGCTAAAGTCATTAAACTGTTAAGTTAGCTGGTCATTTTGTCCCATGACAACATTAGTTGGTGAATAGTTATCTGTATTCATTACCACCACGTTGTGTTATGCTCCCGAAATAACAGAACAGGACTAAAAAAGAAGTGAAAGGATGATCTTTTCACTTCTATTTCATTAACACCACAACAGCACGTGGTAAATATGAATAAAGAAACCCGTCAGCTCCACTGTCTGGACTGGACTAGACTGGCTTATATCTTACTGAGTAAGGCCCGCGTGGCCTGGCGTATTTCTCCGGTTAATGCAGTGAAATAACTGACTGACTGAATATTAAGTCGCGTTGGCTCCCTATTCGAATTTTCCCGTTCCACCTTAAATAGTGCAGCTGTTACATTCTGGATTCTTGGGCGCCAGAATGTAACTGCTGCACCATTTAAGGTGGAACGGGAAATTCGAACAAGAAGCTGGCGAATGGGAAGCCAACTTCAGCCTCGTTATAAAGTGGCAGATTACTGACGTCCAACAGCTCCGCGTCTTTATTTTCAAACCGATCATTTTCTCTCCTTCACTAACCGCGCCGAGTCCTGTGCACATGGACTGAACACGTCTGACAACATCTGAGCTCCAAAACGTGCTCTCGCTCTCTTCGCTGTAGGCCGTTACACATCGAGGGAAAGTGGTTCACGAGCCTTTAGATGGCCCAGTTCGTTACACGTGTATCATATAAAGGAACCAGGAGAGCCAACATGCGGGAATAACGTTGTCTTTGACTTACCTCACGCTTCGGGCTGCCCTCACGCTCTTAGCAAACTGAGAAGTGCAAAAAAAAAAAGACCACCTCGTAACATCGATGCCTCTCATTGGACGTCCTGTCACGCGCAAGCGAATGGCTGAGGAGTTTCTGCGCTGCTGGACTTCATTGGTTTGTGAGAGTAGTGAGAGTGGAGGGGACAATGCACACCTTTCACTCCAGCAGTACTGGGGTTTTCCCTTGAATGGGCGTGGGAACGAGATCATGCCTTACTAAGTTGTGGCCATGCATTAGGATCTCATTCCCACGCCTTAAGTAGGAGCCCCTCTAATGACATTCTGTATAAATAAACATAATGCGTGGCCACGACTTAATAGAGTGTGGGAATGAGATTATTAAGTCGTGGCATTATTTTTATTTAAACAGGGTGTCACCAGAGGGGTTCCGTACCTTTTTCAGTCTCCCACTGAAAAGAGCCAATTTAAATGAACGAGCCTGTTTAAGTTTTTTCATTCATTTGGAAGAAATACACATTTATCACGTGAAATAAACAAGAATTCTCTTAATAACTTCTGTGAGTGGTCGAACTTTGGGTGCTGGGCAAGTGATTATGAACTGTAGATCTAATTAATTAAAAAAAACTTGATTAGATTAATTAGACTGTCATGAAGCACTGTCCTTTCAGAGAGGACTGAAAGCCTAATTTATACTAGCACCCTCAGATTAGGCTTGGAGCTTTTTCTTGTTAATCCCGCAGTCAAATCTTCTCACTACTCATTCTGTTTTCCAAAGGAAACATACTCCAAAGTACATAAGGCATCTGGTATACAGACCATGCCACATAAGAAATGAACTCTTTATTATTGGCTACAGCATCCTCATTTATTCACCACTGACTACCAATAATAAGTGTACTGTAACTTTCTGACAACATGTAGCCCTGAGTTATCAGGCATGTGTTCTCTGCTAAAACTACACCACTACCTTCTCCTTATGTTGTGTTGGGAGGTCAGGAATGTGAGGACTGGGCTATAATTCAAGACGTCATGTATTTGGTTCTATCAGAAACTGCTATTGTACCCATAAGCAATATACGTAATTCCCAATATCTCCAAGGGAACTGTCATAGTGTTATGTAATAGACTGATTTGGAGGTTCTTTGGGTTGTTGTTTGAGTCATGGTTTAGAGTTGCTTTTTCAGCATTAGGTAGCACAGCTTGTATTTTATGGTGACTAAACTCTCTAAAACAGGCTCACGTTTTTGTTTTCACTGTAACAATAAAAGATTTCCTAACAACTTCCACACAATCACTCACATCACATGATTTAGATAACAATGAATTACATGGCACATGTCCATGCCAATCTTAACTTTACTGATAAATTGAGTGTCCAAATGTTTGTGGACGTCTGCTCATCCAGTCTCTCTTCTGAAATCAGGGGTATTAACAGGGGGGTTTGTCCAACTTTGCTGCACTAACAGCCTCTACTCGTCTGAGAAGGCTTTACAATACATGTTGAAGCATTGTTTTGGGGATATGGTTGCATTCAGCCACGAGAGCATTAGTGAGGTCAGGTACTGATGTTGAATTATTAGTTCTGCATCACTCCCACTCATCCCAAAGGTATTGGATGGAGCTCCATCACTCCAGAGAACACAGCTTCACTGCTCATGTGTCAGCAGAAGTGTTCACTAGAGTTGCTGAGTTCACTCATTAGAAGGGGTGTTTGGACACTTTCGGACATACAGTGCACCATTTCACATGCAGTTTGTCTGCTTGATCAGCTTGTCAGTTTTATAAGGCCAGAGTTATTTATGGAATGAAGTAAACGACGAATACCCGTGTTATCTAACAGACGGATCTAACAGATAAATTGATGTGACTGGTAAGGGTGTGTCTCCTGAGTGCAGTGTGGCAGCGGTGTACGGTGCATAAATTACAGAGGAAAACACGTGACGTCACGCGGCGGGCGGTCTCTTCTGTGTAGCCCTCCACTTTCATTCATAGGCGCTTAGAGCAGCAGTCAAACCCTCACAAGCTCATACGCCAGCCCACGACGAGCCTCCAGCGAAGACGGACAGGTAAGATTTCCGCAGGGCTTTGACATAAACCAGTGTTTGCAGGCAGCTTCTGACCGTGAGACGCAAGTTGAAGGGTTGCAGTGTGTGATTCGTTCACCGGTGGGCTAACTAGGTTAAAGTGCACGATCAAGAAAGCCACTCTTATTTTTATGAAATGCTTTGCCTGGTACACATGAATGAGGGCTGATCAGCTTCACTCTACACGTTTGGAGCTCTTCAAAACCAGACATTAGGAGTAGCTCAGACCTTTTTGATATTTAAGATGGTGTTATTTTTATTTTTCATATTTCTCTCTCCTCTGTTATAGCATGCGTTTCCAGTAGTATTTGTTCTGGCACAAGGTCTCTGAGGGCACACTGTAATATAAGCCTATTATAAGTGTTTTGCCAACATGATTACAAGCACACCGGCGCTGTGCTAACAGCAGGGTCAGTAGGTGTCCGTGAATGCAGGGCATGAGTCCAAGGACACGGCATTCAGATTAGATCTGAAAGGCACTTTTACTATAGGAGTGATCGTACACGTATAGGCTATGTATCTATATAAGCCATTAAACAAGTGCAGGCAGCCATAATGTTTCTCAAATCAGAGCTGGCTTTGCTCACACTGGGTATCCTCATTTAACCCCATTTTCAGCTGAAACCGAAACCATGTTGTTGTAGCTGAATGGCTTGGGTCTTTTTTTATAAAATACGATTTAAATTTTAAAAAGATTGTAAATAAGTCACAGGTATTTCTAACGAGACAGCCTCGTATTTTGATGCCTCCCCCCAAAAACCTGTTGTAAATAAGGCCAGGCCTAGCGTTACAGATGTAGGGTAAATAGGAAAAATATATCAGTGAGCTCAGTCCTGAATATGCATGGTGTGAATACTGCACTTTTTAAAGTAATATTTTCTGTTTTGGGCTCCTTAAAGCTTAAAAAGAGACAGCACAGCGCTCACTGCTCTCTCTCTCCACACAGCGCCATACTACAGCGCGGCGACCTTTCCCCTAGTTTCCAGTTGCACAGGGTAGTCATGTGATCAGGTTGAGCGGTGCTGGGGGGGATGGGGATGAGGAAGAGGGGGGGACAGCAACGCGCTTTGACGTACAACCGGTGTCTTAACGTGTCCTTCACACGACTTTTGAGGTCTTACATGCATGCATTGTGTTAAATAGCATGTGCTGAAGCATGTGCCCTCAGTAACAGTGAGTTGAATGGCTTTGAAAGCCCTACAATTGCAGTTAGTCCTTCACGGATAAGACAGTCTGAACCAAACCATATGATGGCCTATGTAGCACATGGCCTAATATTTACAATGACATAATCGTGATACTAGGTATTAAAGGGTAATTCCACCGTTTATTCAACATTTCTGTTAAACACCGAGCTGTAAACAAAGGCACAGAGTGGTTTGATGTGAAGTAATTCACTGCAGAGGAATTTAGATGTTTTTACAGTGCTGGTGATAGGAACCAGTGGTACAATGCAAATACAGCAATTTTATTTACTATCTGATAATAGTATTTACTGTCCTGTTTAATTTACTGTTATTCAGTACAAAATTTCAGTTCTCTTAATGATTAGTCCTGTCATCACCAGTGAGACACTAAACAGGCTTGATCCAAAATCTGGTGGTTGGCTGTGTAAATGACATTCTATAAGCATGTTATTCATGTCAGAACATCTTAAAGGTGCAGTGTCTAATATTTATTGGCATCTAGTGTTGAGTTTGCAGATTGCAATCAACTGAATACCCTCACCCCTCCCTCACGCCTCCCTTTACAAGCATGTAGTTACAACCTACAATGGCTGTCATGCTTCTTTGATGATAAGAACCCTCCCTTGCTTTTTCTTGTGCTAAAATAATATGTATCATCCTCCATTTTTCAAAATTTGGATTCTCAAACTTCTCACAGCATAAAATGGTTATCCAGCACCAGTGGCAACCACTGATTCATTTTCTTTCATCTGATGTTATAGCCCTACCAAATTCAACTGATGCTTTAACATAAACATCTGGAAGGCATTCAATAGAGCCAGCTTTTGGTTGTCTGTTCTGGGCTACGGTACAAACATGGCAGCCTCTGTCGGAATAGGATCCTTCCCCTATGTAGTTATGACTCATTCAAATGAAAACAGAATGATTCATAGTTACAGTTGATTATACACTAACGAAAACATGCTTTTGTACACTACGCTCCATTTCTGCTAATAGGTCCCTTTAAATCTTGCACACTGCACCTTTAATAGGTCTGCAGCTTGTTGCAGTCAGTAAATATACCCACTTCCAGCACCTCACACTCGTTTCTGGTTTAAGCCACTCCCACTTCTGGGTTGTAATTTAAAAGAAGGCATTGAAAAAAGGATTGTTCGGGAATCTGTATCGAAGTCAAGTACCCAGTCCTAGAAAGTAAGGGTGTTTATATCTGTATGGGGTAAACATATATGAAGCACAGACATTTGTATGCTTAGTGTCCCCATTTTAGGGACCAAAAGTAACTGGACAAACAGTGTTCATCTTAAATACACTTGTCATGTTTAATGCTCGGTTGCAAATGCTTTGCAGTTTATGCCTGCCTGAATTCTGCAGCCTACAGACATCACCAGACCTGTAATGCAGCCATTTTCAGTTTCAGTTCAGAAGATCAAAGATATGCATCTTTTACAACCTAAGGAGCTCCATAGTTGCTTTAGCAGTATGTTTAGTGACACTGTCCTGCTGTCCTGTTTTTCAGCATTAGGGTAGATATGAACAGTTAGGTGCTGCTGAGGTCATGAGGCGTACAGTATTCTTCTCTTTACAGTAATATTCAACACATCTATGCTTACACCTTGGATGCTGTTCTCGATCTGTTTTTCTTCAGTTCTTCATCCACTAATTTGGCCTCTCACAGTTGTGACTGTGGCTTCCCAGGTTGTTTGCTTCTGTTAAGCTAACCAGTACAGTGTTGCTCCTTAACAATGTACCAAACAGTTGACCACAGTATTGTTCTTAATACCCCCAAATTAAAATTGAAATGCTGCACTTTAGCCTTGTAGTCAAAACAATGGAAGTTATCACCTGTCTATTTACGTACTGCATTGTTAAAACAGTGTTCAGGTAGAAAAAGAGATTTACTTTTCATCTTAGTCTCATATTTCTTTATTTATTAAATATCTAGTTGAAAAACAAATGTGTCATGTCAGAATAAATCCTAATATGTTTCTGAAAAGGAAAGGAAGACAGCTTAGTCCTCACCTATTGTTTGATCCGACATATGTTGTCGAACAAGTTTATAGATAAGCATGCTGTCTCAGTTTACGTGGGACACCTGCAGTGACATTCCAGAAGTATTTATTACACACAGACATCATGTCAGGTGTGAACGTCGCTTAATAAACACACACTGCTTTATTTACATTTTTCACATTGTTAAGCAGAAAAGCAGGTCGTATTTTGTGATGTCTGAGTTGTGCCACATTTCATGATGAATGAATTGTGCCAGTCTGGTCAGCTGTTTAGGCTCGTCCCTACAAGCCTGCTTAGAAACAACCACAGCATCAAATGTTTATGCAGGCTAGGGGTGCGGGAAAAAATCGATTCTTAGATGCCTCGCGATGCAGACGTGGACGATTCTGAATCGATTCATAAATGTCAAAAATCGATTTTCTAAATATTTAATTCATAACGTAATGTTGACGGAACGCAAAGGGCGGAACTTGGAAGTGGGTAAGTGCGGCGCCCGGACAGTCTGTGGCGGCACATAACAAAAACACAACCGGATGAGCGAGAAATCCGACCGGCTCCCTCTGCATTAAAAGCCAGGTTAGATCAGGAGTCACAACATGAATGTTAAGAAGAGACATTTTGTCCTTTCAGCAAAAATCAAACCACCTTGGGAGCCACAACATTATGTCCAGTATGTGATAATGTGCTAAAAATGGGCTAAAAATATAAACGAAAAAGCAGATTTACTTCGCTCTGCTTTAAGCTTTAGGTTAGCTATAGCCGCGTTTCTTCCAACTCTTCAACTATTCAAAAATTGAATAGTTTCTTGTAAAATGTCTCTCAGCTTTCCGCTGTTTTACGAGGCTGAAGTCGCTTCTCATTCGCCAGCTTCTTGCTGAACTTTCCGGTTCCACCTTAAATTCTGACTGAGGCGCCGAATGTAAAAGCGGCACCATTTAAGGTGGAACGGGAAAATTAGAGAAGCGACTTCATCTTCGCAGCTTCGCATCTTTTAGTTAGTGTTTGACAGTCTCTCGTTGCAGATTTAACGTACCAGGAAACCAAGTGCGCTGCTTATAAATGCGAAGTCCATTCGTCTCCAAATGTTCGTCTGTCTTTCTCTTTTCCTTTTTCGTTCGCTACTAGCCAGGCGAAACCTCGTTGCTAGGTGACCTGCAGTCTTTCGCACCCCCCCACCATCACGAAACCAAAACCGAAGTAATGAAATCCCGAAAGAATATATAATGTGCTCCGTGGTCATCCATTACCACTTATCTTATTTCACCGTAACAGCGCATTTTATCTCAGATGAGTGGCAGCAGCGTCTCCAAACAAGAACAGTGAATGAGAGCCTTCCAGTTCACTTACCACATTACTTCCATTTGTTTTATTAATAAAAGATGTTGGATGTAAATGCATTATGGATCATTACAATTACTTTGTTTTAAAACTACAAAGTCCTCAGACAGTAAGAAAATAGAAATCATGTATAGAAAAAAAAGATGCATCGATAATCGTTTTATAATCGCATCGCAGCCCTCTGAATCATAATCGAATCGAATCGTGAGGTGCCTAGAGATTCCCACCCCTAATGCAGGCTATCTTCTGTTTATGGAAATAAATGTTAATAAGAAGAATAATTATAATTAATAGACTGTGTAATAGAGTACGTAATAAAATGCATGAGTAACCTCCGAAACACACAAAAATTACATTTTAATTATGTCATGTTTAATAATGATGTGCTTTTCTGCCCAAAATGGCAAAGAAAGCCCAAAATGGCAAAGAATTGAGCTTTTACTGGTCTTAACAACAAATCATTAGTCAGTGAATTTGCAAGAATTAAACCAACAGATAAAGTATCTTAGCATGGGACAGCCTTTTCCTTTGATTTCTATAATGATGAAGTCTTGTGGGTAAACATGCAGACACAGAAATAAGAGTCAGTGCTATTTCACTCAGCATTGATGACTTTAAACAGTTGAAATACACTGCCGAGCTAGTTTGTGTTTCATGTGATACCAAATATTCTGAGGTATAAGTCTGGACTCTGACCAGGCCAAAACCATGAGTAAAAATCATTAGTATTTTGGGCTTGGCCCATTTTTTTTGTACAGGTGGGTAGATCATGATTATCATCAGTAATTGTAGAACAACTGTACAGTAAACTAACAAGTAGCTGATTCAATGTCAGCCCATAATGCCACTTTATTTTTCATACCCTTTTTAAAATATGCAGTGATATGCTCAGAAAAGCATATGGTGATGTAATTTAAAGAATAACGAGCCAGAATGCCAGATTAACGAGATCTGATGTTTGTTTTTGCTTCTACCAATAAAACCGCGAGTCATCAATATTGGACATTGTTATTGGCCAACTGATGTATAGGTTGGGCTCTTATAGATGCAAGATCATAAAGATCATTTGGTTCTTCTTCCTTTGGTAGTGAGAGTTTGTAGGAAGAATGGCAGAAGCGCACCAGGCGGTGGCCTTCCAGTTCACCGTCACTCCAGATGGCATCGACCTACGCCTGTGCCATGAGGCCCTGCGGCAGGTTTACCTCTCCGGCCTGCACTCCTGGAAGAAGAGGTTCATTAGGTTCAAGGTACTTTCATGGAATTTCCTGGTTATTCTGGCAATGATTTATTCAGGTGTTGTATCAAAGGGCGCACTATTATTACGATGTTTATTGCTTTTTATGAGCTGTCAGGAACAGTCATGTTTTGCTTATAACTGAATGTGACACATTACATCAACTGATAAATTATTGCAAAATTTATAGATAATGATAGATTATGTTGCATTAGATAGTAGTGTGATGGTTTTACTGATGATGGCCTCTTTCTGTATTTCTGCAGAATGGTGTTATGACTGGAGTATATCCTGGAAGTCCTTCTGGACTGATAGTTGTTGTTGCGGGATACATGTCCTATGCGAAGTATGCCAAAATAGACCCCTCATTAGGACTCTTCACAAAACTGGCCACGCACATACCAGTAAGGTAAATGACTGACTGCATTCAGGTTTCATTTACTATAAGTAACAAGGAAAAGGATAGACGCTCTTGTTAAAAGAGTTGAAGTCTTTCTTTCCTTCTCTCCTCAGCCTAAAACTGCAGGGTCTCTTATCTCAGCTATAGTGTATTTACTCATTAGGGACTATTAGAGGTAACCTTCACATTTTTTTTAATTTATTTTCTACCGAATAGAATAACGACCCGCTTGCTTATAGTGGCATTTGAAATTTCCCCAGAACCTCTATAGAAATTTCAAAAGAAAAGAACGAGGTGATATGAAAGGGCCCATATGCTACACTTTCCCTGTATTTTATTATTAGGTATTCTTATTATTGTCTTGTATTGCAGACTTTAATACTTTAATACAAAGGGGGAAATCAATACTTTGTCTGTATAATTTAATCAATAAGATGTAAACAAGTGTGGTTTATTTCGAAATTCTCTGTTTTAGAGAAACTCACCAATTAGCCTTAATTGTTCATAGTGGTGGTGATAGGAACCAGACGTCTGAGGATACTGTTTTATGTTCGTTTTACAATAATTTTAATTTGTCAGCTTTACCATTTCCAGCATTACTTGTAAACACTCAGAAGACGTGTAGGTTCACTGGTGGTTTTCAATAGTAATTAAAATGGCTGTGTTGTACCCGTTACAACCCTTGGTTCCTATCACTATCATTGTAAAGAAATTGATTAAGCTTTTCTACAATGCACCATTTCACATCAAGCCACTCTAAATGACTTTGTTTCCATCTCAGCTCTTGAATTATACAGGAATTTGGGGAAAAAATTGTGGAACTCCCCTTTTAAAACAACATTTTCTAAACATTTCGAGAGCCAAAAGTGCCTGTAGTTGTAGAAGCACTCAATTATATTTAAACAGCTAAACTAAAACTGCAAAACTGTTGACTTTCAAGGGTTAAACATGACTGACCATTTCAAAGTTGTGTGCATGAACATTATAGGCAAATCTGCTAATCTAGACATTTGCATTACAACCTCGGGGAAGAAGCTGAAGAGGGAAAAAGCATGCAGGACTCACACCTGCTGAATTCTCCTACTTCTCCTAATTCTCCTACTAATCATTTGCAATAGGCATATAGATTGGCTAATATTCAGACTAGTAATTAAAAACAAAAACAGGTAAAGACAGCCTGGATCAGCCTGGATCAGGCTGCCGTGGTCTGTTTCCAATGAACAGAATGTTCAGATAAAGAAGCCAACCTGTAGCACTTTGATAACATGTGGCAGCTGTGACAAAAGAACAAACCTTAAAGAACCACGTCCTGCTTGTAGTGTGTGAGAATGGTTTATATGGGGAAGTGAGATAAACCTGAGGGGTATTATCTCTTATTTCTTAATGGAACTTAGTATCCCAGATGTATCAATGAGAAAAAATCACAGCCTGTATAACTAAAGCCTAGAGACATAAAAGGTGATGATGCCACATTGTGAGTAATTCTGTTTCCCTGCAGTAAGTATATAACAGAAGATGGTCAGCGTATTGCTGGTGGAGTGCTGGTGGGCACAGGGCTGTGGGTCACTGTCATCTTCATCATGAGGAGTGTCCTTAAATCCCTGCTGTCTTGGCACGGATGGATGTACAACCGCCATGGGAGTGTGTCCATAGGTACCAAGATTTGGCTGGTGAGTCTCTAAAACAAGTATGCGCACTAAACTTTCTGTTATCAGTGTAATTATGAATGAGACTTGAACTCATTAACTCTGTCTTACTTGACACTCAGAGACTTTGTCTTTGTTTATTTAGGAATCGAATTGAACTGCTAGGCCCTGTATCCTCACTGTGATAATTACATAACTTACATAGTAGTTTCATAGATGTTACTGACTAATAAGCCTTAATATTAGTCACTGAACTATAAACCTGTAATTTAAAGGGTTAACTAAAAGCATTTAAAATTGATCAAACCTGTTGTGGTGTGTTTTAACAACATCATATGTTATGTGTCTCACAAAGCTACGTGCTATATTTATTCAGAACATACTAATCGGTTCTACAGCATGCTGTTGTGTTCCCATTCCACTTGTTTGACGTTTGAACCTCCTATCTCTGCAGGTGCTGGTGAAGTTGTTCTCTGGCCGTAAGCCAATGCTCTACAGTTTCCAAAGCTCGCTGCCACGCTTACCCGTGCCCACTGTGAAGGACACCACAAAAAGAGTGAGTTTGTGCCAGAGACCACCCTTCATTTATTTCATTCCCAGTCAAAATGGGCCATTAAGTAGAAGCTATTTATGTGTCAGGAAAAAAGCAGTAAATATATGTTAAACAGAAAATTGCACAGAATCCTCAAAAAGTAAATATAATATCAGTTTCTTCAGTATTTAGTGTGTCCACCCCACCCTTTACCTTTATTACAGTTTCCATTCTTTTCAGAAGACTTGCTTTCAGTTTATCCAAGAAATCTGCAGGGATATTTTTTCCACACCTCCAAAGTTGAGTCGTAGAAGTTGGTTGCATTTTCTGCTTTTTTTTTTGTTGTAAAGGTCTGGACTTTGGTTTGGCCAGTCTGTTGTTCTGAAAGCACCAACAGCCTCTTTGTTTGATTTGCAACTTTTCCGACTTTTTCATCTATTTTCCCTTCTCAGTCTGAACATCCCACTTTTTTGTTTGTTTTGAAAACATTAAATGGCAAAAATTTCATTTAAATCATAATAAAATATAACCACATTTGTGTTATTTGTGAACACGAATGTGGCATGGCTTGAATGTTTAGAATCTATGCTTTTGACAGAATTTCTCCGCTTTCTTGAACTACAAGTGAGAAATAATGAAGTGTAAGAACATGTGTTTCAAAGCATATATGCAATGGGGGCTCTAGAGGGTGGACGACAGAAAGTTTTACCTTACACAGGATTTTCTTTTGTCCCTTGTTTATATAGTATCTTGAATCAGTGCATGCTCTTATGGACGATGAGCAGTACAAACGCATGGAGGGCCTGGCGAAAGATTTTGAGAAGAACCTGGGCCCAAAACTCCAGTGGTACTTGAAGCTCAAATCCTGGTGGACCTCCAACTATGTAAGTTGACACCATCTGTAAGCTTAATATCTGTGTCAAGTAACGTTGACAAATGTAATATAATTCTGTAACAACTCTTTATGTTGGCAGGTCAGTGACTGGTGGGAAGAGTACATTTACCTAAGAGGACGTGGGCCCATTATGGTCAACAGCAACTACTATGCAATGGTAAAGGCCTCATAGTAATGATTTGAAATGTCCTTTGTCCTCTGTACAATCATAGGAACTGAGCTATAGAAGACCCAGTGGTCAGAATATGAGATATTTGTTATCACTGACATTTGATAGTGAGAGTCTGAGGGCATTATGTGACCCAGAAACAGAATGGAAGAGAGGTCTCATCAGAATTCCTTAGGCGCTCATTACTGCAACCATGACTGTTGTTCACAGGGAATTTCAGTAGCGCCATTGCTAAAATGATTCGTGAGATATGATTAACCCACTTACAATTTATCACAATTGAGTACCATATCAGTAATGAAATTAGGTCTGTTCATGTCTATTTACTGCCTACTTTTTCCACAAATGCCACATATTTTCATTTCTATTTACATAAATGAAATAAAATAAAGACTTTGCCAAATTGTTGGCTTGGTTAATTTTTCCCCACCTATTTTGACTTCTGTAACACACTTTTAAAAACTCATTTTCTTTATTTGACACCCCCAGGACTTCCTGTATGTCTTCCCCACTCATCTGCAAGCTGCCAGGGCAGGGAATGCTATCCATGCCGCTATGCTGTACAGGAGGAAACTGGACCGTGCTCAGCTTAAACCTGTAAGTCCTGCTTCTTAGTGAGACACACAAGGCCATATCTTATTAGATAGTACACTCTGGGTCATTTCCTTGTTCTTGTAGTTACACAGCAGTAGCAAGGCTTGCAATGCTAAATGCCCTGTTCAGGTTATATGACATACAGAACAATGACAGTGGAGTAAACTCCACTAATATAGTCCACAAATGAAGAGTTTACTGTGGACCTAGTTACATTAGACATTTGAACATTAACTATTCTTGAAACAATAGTCACCTTATTAAGAATATTTTCTGTTTTAACCCCTTAAACTGCAGGCTGATTATTTGGTTATTCATTTTTAAGTTTTATTTAGTAACTATTTTTACTTATATAGTAACTAATATGGCTGCTAATATTTTATGTAGTTATGACAGTGAGGGACTGAAGTGTGGACATATACAGGTCCTTCAGTTTAAGGGGTTATATCAGAATCATGTCCAATAATATATATTGCCGTTCTTGGTTCCATGCAGACTTGCTTTTATTTAGTGTCCGATTCTAATATATGTGCACTGGCGTGGCTGTGGCCAAATTTCACTGACATAGAAAATGTAATGACTAATCTTTAGATGTAGTATATACATTGAAAACCTTGTGTTTTGTCATTCTTTTCCTACCTTTACCACTCTCTCTCCCTCTCTCTCTCTCTCTCCCTCTCTCTCCCTCTCTCTCTCTCTCTCTCTCTCTCTCTCTCTCTCTCTCTCTGCCCTAACCTTCACCTCTTTGCATGATTATTAAACAGCCCTCCTAAATAGTGCTGTGTTTTGTCCTTTGCTTTCGGATGTCACTGTGTTAAATGTGCGTGTGGCGGCACGCACACAGGTTTACTTGCTGGAGAACAGAGTGCCGCTGTGTTCGGCACAGTGGGAGCGGATGTTTAACACGTCCCGCATCCCGGGCCTGGATACAGGTAAGAGAGAGGGCGAGTAGCCGCGAGCCGTGCCAATCCCTATGCTTGGTTTCACCAATGGTGTGCAGCCTCACATCACCTGCAATCAGAAACTTTTAGCTTTTAACCCCTTATACTTATTTATTAGTCAGTTTATGCAAAAATACCTCAGTGTTTCTCAACCCAGTCTCTATCTCGTACATCTGTAGCATGTGGTACATTACCATAGACAATGATTTCATCACATCACATTTTCATCACAGAGCTTAGTGAAAGAACAGAAAACCACTTGTAAAAAAGCCCATTGACTTCTGCTATAAATTTGTTTTGTCTCAGTGGGAGTGACGAATTGTGACTATTAGAGCCAGGCCTTCAATTTGGGCCTTAAATGTCAAAACTCAAAGTCAAAAGTCAAAACATGAGGAAAAAACCCATCTCTGTGAAAATGCTAGCATGCCTATGGGACTCTAGTAGTTTGTCAGTGTTACGTTAAAGATGATTGCATAATGTTTGGCCATTCTAGATTAAACACAGACATTTGAAGCTACTAAAAGACATTCCATGTTTTACATGAAGCTTGTGCTATACATGTCAGTATATATTTGACCTTATAGTAAGTTCACAGTGACTCAGCAGAGAGGCTGCCACTGTTTCCCATTTCTGACAACCCATTGATTAGGCTGCAGCTCATATTCACAGTCAGTGACGTATCTAGGAGTTTCTGGAGGCCTAAAGTTTTGTTTTTTTCTCATGAAATTGAGCCCACCTGTTGGAAATCAAAAAGTGATTGGTTGACTTCTGTAATTATGCTGGTAGTTGATCAAATACATTGGGACTTTCAGCTCTTGAAGTCCTAACCAATAGGACAGCTCGCTTAGCTATATCCACCTAGAAAACACAAAGATAAACAGTTCTGATTCGTAAATTTTCCACTGGCTGTTTCAAGAACCCTTTTGTTTCCATCCAAAACTTAACAATAACAAGAGTAGTACTGTCATACTTGCAGAGTTTAAATAAAAGTGTGATTCTGTTGAATAAAAATGAACTAAAAATAAAAGACATGCATTTTTTAGTTTCTAGATTGCCCTAAGCGTTCCCAGTGGTCGACAGAAGGGCTGTAACAATACAGTGTATCACATTGTATTGAAATGTTATCACAGCATGTCATATTTCATTTTTGTATTGTGACTAGCATGTTACCATGTGGCTATTGTGTTACCTTTGTGCTGATATATTAGCTTGTGGTTAGAACATTAGATCAGGGCACTATAAAGTACAGCTGTTGTTTCAAGTAGTGTACTTTTATATTTTTATATTGTTGAATGCTCCAATAAACTGAAAATGGAAACACCAATCACACGAACCCAACAAGTCTGGTACTGCCTCCCCCACCAAATAAAAAAAATAAACCAAAGGGGCTTGTGTAAATCTGCTGCCAGAAGAGTTATGCTTTGTGCATGTTCCCATTGGCAACTGTAAAGTCATTTTGTCAGTTTCAGCATGTAGAACTAGAGCTTTGGTGAAAATGGTAGTTTGTGACACAAACTCAATAAACAATTTGATAAATTTCAGCTTTGCTAGATCACATTCTTTACAAAACAAATAAACGCAAAAACAGCGTTCAGAAATTGTGTTATTTATGGAAAAGAATAGATAAAATGACAAAAGTAGGGTTTTTTTGCATCAACCTTAAAGAGTTAACATATAAGGCACATTTTCAGAAAAATGTATAAAATCAAGACCTTATCGTATTGGATCAAATTATGAATTCCGTGTAACATTGAGTTTCTGGTTCTTTTATTATGTACAACATTTGTCAAAATGGTTGTCTGTGGTGATCAACTGTATGTTACAGGTGTGGCAGATGGAGATTAGGTTTAAAAACACTTGAATATTCCTTTAAGGCTTATTTTCCAGTAACTACTATTACTTATTTGTCACCTTCTATTAAACTACTATGTAAATTACATAGTTACGAGTGTGAGAACTTGCTGATGAGTCTGTGGAGTTTAAGGGGTTAGCATTCTTCTCATGCACAGCTTTCTAAAGATGGTCCAGTTTGTTTGTTTTTTAGACATGAAACTGTCAAAACTAATTAATTCATAAATTGATTCATTGTTTAACTGATATGCTGATAGGATTTTTACCGTTGTTTTCTCTGAACTGCACTGGTGACTTGAGGCTGCATCTCCATGGTGATGAATATCCTTCTCACTCCTTCCCACACCACGTCTCATGAACCTCTCTGACATCCCTCCATCCGTTATTGTCATCCTTTTTGTTTTCATCACTCATGCTTTTCCTCCTCTGTAGGTCTCGCTGTAGTGGGTTGGTGCGTGGTGGGATTCGCTTGGTGTGTTTTCTGGTAGTGTCTGACTCTCCCTCTTGCTTTACAGCTCATGGTTCTAAACACTATTCCCATGTGCTCATCCCAGTATGAGCGTATGTTCAACACCAGTCGAGTCCCAGGTGTAGAAACAGGTAGAGCTCTCTCCTGTCCTCTGCTTCAGCACCTTAATCTCAGAATTCCAGTTTAATCCGCTGTTTCATCAAACAGTGCATGTGAGCAAGGATTATAATGCATGGCGCTGCAGAGGTGTGATCTTGCGTTGTGGGTGTGGTGTAATCCGACTGTTCTCGTCCATATGACTAAAATAAACACTTAGAGGTCACAATTGTTTAATGTAATTAAGTAATAATTATGTAATTACATAGTAAATTAAGCAATTAATTACTTTTACATTTATTTTACATTCTGCATCAACAGATTTGTCTTTTTCCATGTTTTGAAGTCAAGAATGACAAAAAATGTGGAACATGAAACAAAGCTGTTTACACAACAAAGACTTTTCACCAAATTCAATTCATAATACCATCATTATTCTGCTTCCAAACAAATGCGGCGTGTTGACTGAACGTGTAGAATCTGCACATGCATCAGAACCTCTCCGCTTGTTTCACTGAATTGTGAATGAGAAATAATTATTCTGGAATTACAACATGTTTTTATTAATGCCATTGATAGCTGTGACTTCTAAAGGTTAAGCATGGATTATTGCAGTGCGGTGAGAATTTTATCATGGTCTGACACCCTTTAAAACATTTACTTTAAGTTTTACAACAGCAGCGTGTAGGTGGCAGTTGTAGCCAGAGGTCATAGTCCTTCATGATAAAACCAACGTACCTGGTAGCTCTGAAGTGTTTTTATTTTTTTGGCTTTCGCTGACAAATTTAATTGAATCACTTAATTGAGCTTTCTGATGAAATGCCTAACCTAATACATGCATGGACAAATACTACTAATTCACAGCCATTAACATGTATTGTTTTTTGGACAAATAAATATTAACATTATGTTCAAGCAGTATGTGACTCTATCATTTATCTACACGTCAGTAGAATGTGAAATGGTCAGATTTAACTGTATTATATCTAAAAAATGTGAAAGTTATGTAAGCTTTTATTAAGTTTATTTATTCTGAGAATGAGGAAGCTTTAAGGAAGAGTGTGCATTAACAAACCCCCCTTCCTTTCCCATCAAGTCCAAACAATTATAGAGCACTGCTGTGCAGCTAAGGCAAATAAACGGGCAGATAAACTTAGAGGTATTGTAATGCATTCTGTGCACGTCTTGTGGTGTTAAGGAAGTAAGTGTTTGGACTTTGATCTCCCTTTTTTTCATCTCCCCTTTGCTTTCATGTCATTGTGAAACAGTTCCTGTGTCTGCATGGTGATAAACTGAAAGTGTTATTTTCGGGAAAGTTTTGTCTTTGGGTTTAGACTTGGCTTTTCCAGTGTCTGCCATTAGGCCTGTACAGTGGTTATTCAGCTCTTTATTAAAGGTGGATTGCAGAAATTTGTTACATGTCCTGTGTTATTAAATAGTGAAGATGTAAATAAACTCAGAGAGATTTGATGTGAAATGCTCCATTCTAGAGAAACTTGCAGAGTCACAGTTCTTCACAACAGTGGTGATAAGAGCCAGACATCTGAAACGCTTAATGCCTATTTAATACCTTTAAAAGTTCTCTTACAGACAATTATTTCATAAAATGGTTACAAACATGCAACCTGATCACTGTGACATTGTTTTGTGATAGTTTTGCAATAAGCTTTGGGCCTTAAATATATATTTTTAAAATCATTTCATGGCAGAGATGTATAAAATTAGACTCCAAAATAGTACCAAAAAAAACCTTTTTTCTTTACAGATTTACCACTATTTTACCATCATCAACATTACATATAAACACCCAGAAGACACATTTTGGATAGTAAATAAAATGGCAATATTTGTGTTGTAGACTCCTGGTTCCTATCACCACCACTGTAACGAAACCAGAGTCTGTAAGTGTCTCTTCAGTGAGCCATTTTACATCAAACCACTCTGAATGACTTTGTTTACATCTCATCCATTTAATTGTGCAGACTTTTTGAAAGAACCAGTGTAATTTCCCTTAAATGAAAAAGTTTTGGACACTTTGCTGCTCAAAGCAAAATGATGAAGAACAGCCCTTTCCTTTGATAGTTATTAGATAAAAGTCAATTTTCATACAAACTGCTCTGAGATCTTTACATCTCTTATATATGTCTCCATGAGTAGATGTCATTCAGCACGTGAATGAGAGCAAGCACATTGTGGTGTACCACAAGGGACGCTTTTTCAAGGTGTGGATGTTTTATGACGGCCGGTTGCTGCATCCCAGAGAGATCGAGCAGCAGATGGAGAGGATTCTGGCGGACAAGTCTGAGCCTCAGCCTGGAGAGGAGCATCTGGCTGCACTCACAGCAGGAGACAGGTGAGGGCGCTGTGAACAGCACTGAACCTGCAGCAGTACAACACAGGGCTTGAATGAAGGCTTTGGCTGTGTGATCTCTGCTTATTTACACTGACACTGTAAGGAATACTACCATTCAAAAGTCTGGAATCATGTGCCATATTAACATTTTTGGTGTTTTATTTATAAAAATAACATACAAATGTAAAGTATTATGCGTTATTCAAGGGATTTCTAGATGTTTTACTCAACATTTCAAGAAATCTGTAAACAAAAAGTTATTAAATGGTACATGTTTGTTACATATTTGATTTCCACTTTTAAAATCTGATAGATTCTGGATGCCAGTTTTATTATGAATTCATTCTCTGTGTCATACAGCTTTCTCAGTTATTCTCAGTAATTTGAAGCTTGTAACACACATATTAAGATATATTTTACCTTGTAGTAGTTTCACTTTGACTCCTTCAGTACAGAGCTGAGCTGAGTTTCCCATTTCTAACACCGTACTGAAACCTGGTTAGGCTACGACTCATACTAGGGGTCAGTAATGTATCTAGGACTTCCAGAAAGCCTAGAGTGACAACTGGTCAATTAGTCCCACCCATTGTAAATCAAAACGTGATTAGTTGATTCCTCTGTCAGTGCTTATTAGTAATTAATCTGACCAGTTAGCCATTTACTTCAGCTCCTGACATCCTAACCAAAGGCAGAGCTCACTTAGCTGTAGTAACAAAAAAAATCCTGACTGGACAATTTTCTGTATGAGTGTTTCAAGTATTTAAACCCTTAACAGGGCCGGGCAGGTCAGCTGGCCCGAAATTTTATCACACACTTCTATAACCTAAGAATAGCTCAACCAGTTTGCAGTGAAGTCCCTGTAGTTACTGAATAATAAGCTTTTGTATGTAATAAAAATGGGATATTAAGGGGTTAATCCTTTAGTTTCCATCCAAAGGTTAACAAAGAAATTACTGCTGTTCTGGCAGAGTTTAAAAACAACAAGCATGATGATTGTATTAAATAAAAATGAACTAATAATTACAGACAGAAGGCCCCGAAGGCCCTGAGAGTTCTCCACTGCTAGTATAATAGTATATTAGAATCATTTTATGCACATGTCTACAGTTAAAGTGGCTTTATATGATTGACAACATTGATTCTAAACTATATTCAGTGTCTGAGGTTTACTTTTTTAGTTTTGCACTGGAGCTAATATAGCTGACAAGTGATGGAAACCTATTTCTCTCTAATAAGCAGAATGCAAAATGGCTAAATCACTCAGTTGCCTCAAATTGCATTGAGTTGGGCAAAATATGTCAAACTCAGCCTAACTGAAATCCGTATTTGTGTTTGTTGTTGTGGATAACATGTCATGCAGTGCCAGAAACCACATAAGCAAGTTGAGATCACTTAACCACTTGACGTAGTTTGAGGCTAGTGTGTGATGATGACTGCAGTTTGCGCAATGCTAATCATAAGGTTTAAGCCCCTATTACTTGTTAGCTACCTTGTGGCTCCAGTGAAAAAAATTTGGTCACCAAACTTGTCTTGGCTGATTGCCTACATTTACATTTAGGGTAAAGAGTAAATTGTGAAAATTAGAGTTTTTGTGGAACTACTCTTTTAATTACAGTGATACTGCCTAAACATTGAGGTATTAAAATTAACCTGCCAAGGAGGCTTTGTCATTTCTAGCATGTAGCTGTTTGCTGATATCTATTGCCTCAGTTTTTCCCCTGGTTGTCATATGTACATTATTATAATGAAAATCAGTCAATTTTTGCATGTATTAATGGTGATGATATTCTTACAGGGTTGATATAACTGTGTCTTCTGTTTCTCCTCACAGAATACCCTGGGCCAAGGCCCGCTCAGCGTTCTTCAGTAGAGGGAAGAATAAGCAGTCTCTGGATTCAGTGGAGAAGGCAGCTTTCTTTGTGACTCTGGATGACACTGAACAGCGTTATGACCCTGATAACCCTGTGCAGTCTCTGGACAGATACGCCAAATCTCTTCTCCATGGGAAATGCTATGACAGGTTAGAATGACGATTGATCATCATCTGTTATTTTGAGAAAATCTATTTCCTTTTGATTTATTTGTGAACGAAATAGACAGGAAAATATTTTAATACACATAATTTGGCTGTGTATTTGGAGCCCATTGCTGTGTGACCTTTGAAATCTGTAACTTTGTTTTCCTGTGTCCAGATGGTTCGATAAGTCCTTTAACCTGATCGTGTTTAAGAACGGCACTATGGGTTTGAATGCTGAACATACCTGGGCTGATGCCCCCATCGTTGGCCACCTTTGGGAGGTGAATTAAACAAAATTACACATACAGTTTCTATACACATTGTCTTTCACCGTCAACCTTTTTACAAACTTAAAGAGATACTCCTGCATTTTTCAACCTAATCTCCAACTGCTGCGTCTGTGTTCTACTGCCGATTAACACGGGCAATAATTTGATGTACTTCTCTGTACTTAGAAAAGCACAGAAAACCCATGTTCACAAAACACACTTATAATAGTAGCCATTGGGCTGTTGCTCCATCTTGCGAATAAACGTTTTAAATATGTGACGGTATAACATTAAACACTTGTGTTAGGATGAGACAACCTGAGAGAGTGTCTTTCCAGGCTGTTCCTGTGACATTTTATCCAAGATTCCAGATTTACAGATTAATTTACAAACACCTTTAACTGAAGAATTTATGAAAGTGTTCTACAAAAATAATGTTTAAATGTTTGCTGATGAAATTCAGCAGCTGCCTAGTGGCTTATATTATAAGTGAGTTCTGAGCCAGTGGATTTCTGATCTTTTCTGAGAAATCAAAGTTCTTGTTCTTGTCTGTTTAATGCCATATTTGTGTGTGCTACAGCAAGTACTGGCTTTTGATCCTGTGATCCTCGGATACACAGAGGAAGGTCACTGCAAGGGAAAAATACACCCAAGTCTGCCCGGACCACAGCGCCTACAGTGGGATATTCCAGAAGAGGTATAACAGCACTTCTCAACTCCCATCTCTCTCTTTTTGTTCTGTGCTTTTTTCTAGCTCTATTTCTGGATTTCTGTTTGTTTTAGATTAATTTTTTAAATCTTGGGGTTCATAGTCTCTTATTCCATTCCTGTTTACAGCTTGCATATTGTAGATGATTTCGCTGGCTGTCTTTTGTGTACATATTTTATTGTAGTCCTTTCTTTTTCTGTAGTGTCAGTCAGTGATCAGCAGCTCTCTGAAGGTGGCTAATGCTTTAGCAGATGATGTGGACTCTCACATTATCCCCTTCAATGAGTTTGGCAAAGGCCTGATCAAGAAGTGCAAGACCAGCCCAGATGGCTTTATCCAGATCGCTCTCCAGCTCGCTCACTTCAGGGTAACTGTTCCATACCACTCTTTTTGTCAGACATAACCCTCACCTAAGTCCACAGTCCTTGCATGGGTTGACCATCTCCTCTCTCTTTCTCATACTTCAGGACAAAGGAAAGTTCTGCCTGACATACGAGGCGTCCATGACACGACTGTTCCGAGAGGGTCGCACTGAAACCGTTCGCTCCTGCACCATTGAGTCCTGTGCCTTCGTCCGTGCCATGATGGATGAAAAACAGACGGTAAGATCCACAAAACACAAAAAAGCCATAAAACAGTTATTCTCCCCAGCCTCCATATACCACACACACACACACATGTATGTACATACATATATGTATATAGTATACCATAGCAGTAGCTACATAATTGCTCCATAACAACTGTATTAATCCAATAAAAAAATAGAAATACAAAAACAAGCAAACAAATAAAAAACAACATTTTTTAATTGAAAAAAGTATCAGCAGGAGAAAGATCAAGACTTTAATTATTAGAAATATGGATTGAAATGCAAGGGAAAAAGCCAAAATGGTAAAGAATTGAGGCTTCTTTATTTATGGAGAACGTGTGGTTTGGGATAAAGCGTATGGTTTGGCGTATGTGTTTTAGATGGCTTAGCCTTAATTCATGATGTTGCCTTTACACGCAGTTATAACTCATACAGTGTATGATACAGTATTATGTCTGTCTGAGGACGTGGTCTGATTCTGCTTTTCTCCTGCTTCATTCAGAGAGAGGAGAGGCTGCGACTGCTGAAGTTGGCAGCAGAAAAGCACCAGGACCTGTACAGAATGGCCATGACAGGCAAAGGCATTGATCGGCACCTTTTCTGTCTCTACGTGGTGTCCAGGTACCTGGGAGTGGACTCCCCCTTCCTCAAAGAGGTGAGAGCCATTGTCTTGCAAGTCAAGTTGTATTTATGTGTAGAGTACATTTTATTCTGTCATAAGCATTTAGCTTATTAACAAATGTAATATACCCTTGCTGTCATATCAAAACCTCATAACCTCATAACTTTTTAGGTTTGTATTTATTTTGAAAGCTTTTCTTCACTGTGTGAACATTCCATTATGAATAGACCAATTAAACCATTCAATACTCTTGAAAACATAATACATAATAAGTACATACATAATAAGTGTTACATTAATATACGTCAAAGTTTAGATTAAAATGTAAAAATGTACTGAACTGTCTGCAGTTTCATAATTTAACTACTCTGTTGGTTGTATGTGTGGACAGGTGTTGTCTGAGCCCTGGAGACTGTCCACCAGTCAGACTCCTCTCCAGCAGCTGGACCTGTTTAATCTGACGAAGAACCCAGAGTACGTGACCAGTGGAGGCGGCTTTGGCCCGGTATGTGCTCTGCTGGGAGAATCTGAGTATGTCGAGTATGACAGTTAGATTTTGGCACAAAAGGTATTTGTGCAAAGTGAGAGAGCCAAATCACTATATTTAAGTTTTGAGGCATCATTCTCACTGGGTATAGCAAAGCAGGAAGCCAGTCGTAAGCTGTAGCCTCAATAATTTAGCCCATTTTAATACTGTCCTCTTTGAATAATTTAGTATGCTTGAATTTTGTCCCTGAAGCACTACTCATGCAGAATTCAAAGTTTTAGTTTCAAAGTTCAGTAATGTTTCTAGATATGTTTAATAATTAAACTTTTTTAGATACTTTTATTAGTTAAAGCTTTTCCACATTGACAATAAGCATATTAGTATCATGTTTGTACTAAATAATAGTCTAATCATGAATTATTTAAGAATAATCATGTCTTTAGCGAAGAATGAACTAATATAGAAAAAAACTAGAAAAAAGTCTATAGTTTAATGCTGATTACTGGTTTGAGGGTCAATATTCAGTTAGACCTGTTTGACACCTTTCATGCCAAATGCCGCATTGTTTATTTTCTCAACTTAGGTGGCAGATGATGGTTATGGAGTATCATATATCATCCTTGGAGAAGACCTCATCAACTTCCACATATCCAGCAAACACTCCAGTCCAGAGACTGTGAGTACCACGCTTTTACATTTACAAATACACACAGTTAGTAGCACAAAGACACATTAAATGTGCTGTTCACTGAGACTAAGCCTATGTCTGAATCTAGAACCTATTCATTAAATAGCACATTGTTTTGGCCAAAAATAGGCCATATTCACTGTATTATGCACTACAGATGCACTACACTATATATCATCACTGTCAGACCAAAACCTACAAAATGGTGACTTTTCACGAGTACGAAAAATCTTCTTAAAGGGCCCAAATCATAGAAAAAGGAACTTCTCTCACTTTTTTGAATCCAGGTGTAAGTAATATGTAAATATTGTTGAAGTTTTAAAATGTACCAATCACTACCCAGTCCATACGGTCTATACATGGAAACTATGCTTATTCTGAACTATTTGTTTCTGTAAGGTCATGAGAACCAACTAATTAGAACCATCTCAAGTTCTAAGAAATGTTTCCACTCTGAGTGCTTCTTGAATGAGGTGCAGTTCAGGGCAGCCAATTATAACAGAGAGAATATGGGCCCTTTAACTTTTAATGGAAAGTGATGTAACAAGATAGTATAGTAAGTCATTTTGGACCATTTCTGTTGGTCTGTTTGTTATTAAATTTTAACACAGTGTAAATGGCATTTCAAATAAGTAGATGGTAAAAATGGAGATACAAGGTTTTGTTCTGGCAGTGACAATAAGCTATATATTAATAGATATAGATTTTAAGGTTTTTTATTTTAATGAACAAAGGTTGAAATAGTCCACTATGCATTGACCAGGGTCTAGATTCAGACACAGGCCAAAATATCACACTATATGGTGAATAGAGCCTAGTTTTGGACAGAGAATAACACCTTTTTTTGAAACTCTTGTTTATTTTTAGGACTCTCACCGTTTCGGCTGTCATATTAAGCAGGCCATGCTCGACATTCTGGACCTTTTCCAGATTGACAGGAAAGCCAAGAAGTGATCTCTGTTCTTCTCTCTCTCCATTCACAAAAGGGGGTTTCATTTCAGTGAAGTGCACTGAGTGTTAGACTATTCCTACATAGGCATGTACAGGGCATGTACAGATGCGTTGTTAGTTTTTAATTCATGAGATAAGAAATTTAAATAGTATAAATGAAGCACGAACAGGTGAATATATTCATGTCCTCTTCATTCATGTTAAGTGTGTAAAATGGGAGAAACTGTTCAGTGGGCCTTTTTATAACAGATTGTACTAGCCTTCATTTTACACATATTGTTTTTAGCATATTATTCATTGTTGCCTTATTGAACAGAATGGCCATCACTCCATAACCCAGATAAAAATCCAGAAAGAGGTGTTCCTTTTCTGTACTGTGCACATAACAAAGTTCCCTTCTGTAGCTGCTATAATATGTCAAAATCAATGCAATGTTTTTAACAGATATTTTCATACTCAGGTTATTTGAATCTGCATTTGTGACCGGTGGTGTATTAGTGGCATTAGGGCAGGGCAGCCACTAGAGGGAGCTATTACAGTACTCACTCCATATACTCCATGTACTACATGCACTGAAACAGTGCACATTTAGTGAAGGCAATAGTGAATGTTTTTATGTATTTCATTATCATGAGATTTCCTGTGCATGAGTTGCACAGTGTGGACCGTCGCAACCTCTGAAGCCTGTATTTTGCACTTATGCCTGTCAGATAGGCTGCATTAACTCTGAATGGCGTGGGAGTTTTTTCTGAGCAGATTACTGTAGCGATACATTTGCAATGAGATTGTTAAGTAATTTAAGTGTACTTTAAGTAGCATTTCCATGCAGTCCTAAGAAACAATAATGTGGATGAAATCAAACGTTCTAAGAACAAGTAAAAGTGCACGGTTACCTTTGAACTGCAAAAAATCCATTCTTTTCTTCCACCACAGGATACTTCATATTCTTTTGTGATAAACTGTGAAGACAAACACTTCTATATGACTTCCATGTAAAGCTGAAGAGTGCTACTTATTGTATTTTGGTTGACTGACTCACTGTGGAACTACAGTAGCGAAGGTGTTAGCCATGAGGCATATATGCAGCTTAGAATGAACAGGCAGCTCCAGGTGACGCAGTGATGCAGTTCAGCTTTTACTGAGCTTGGCTGGCGTGGGTGTGGCCTACACGCAGTGCAGAGAAGGCACATTGTCACAGCTAGGAGGGACAGCAACCTTTAATTTAAACAAATCGGTTATGTCCACAAACTCAAGGAACAAAGGGATATTTTGGTCTGTATATGTTGTTCATCAGTGGCAGAAAAGTGTGCTATTTATTTATCTGTTAAATCCATATTTTCACGGTGCATTTTATTGGTTCATGAATAGGGTGTGCTCATTAATCACTTGAATTGGTGTTCTTGATTGAATGTACAAGAAAAGCTGAACAAAAATAAAGTAACACATTTTTGTGGAAGGAATATGTGTCATTAAAATGTGGTTCATGTTGTGGCTGAAATATTTAAACATTTTCCACAGATGCAGCTCAAATGCCAAAACACAATAAAAATAAAAAAAATGCGCAAGATGATCTGAGTCTATACTGTGTACTGTAATATGTATATCCTTTCAATATTTAAGTACCACATAGGAATATAAGCACCATATAAATGTTTGGCATTAACTACAGGGCCAAAAAAAGCTGTCTATTAAGAATATTCACTCAAGTAAAGGGTACAAATCCAGAACCAATTAACAGGCCTATTTATTTATTTATGTATGTATGTATGTATGTATGTATGTATGTAAGTGACTGCTGATATTTTCCACTAGAGGGAGCTCGATATCATAATGGATTTGTTTGATGCTTAGAAATAAAATCCTCCCCAGAAAAGAGCTGAAATAGTGGAGAGGTATGCATTGAGTATTTAGCAAAAGGAATAAATGTACCTCTTCTATGTACCACTTCCACATAAAAATGTACAACCCCTCTTTCAAGTTCTTTGCATGGTGTGCAAAATATTAATAAAAGCAGAATGCAATGATGTGCAAATCATTTAAAACCAATGCTTACATGAAAATAGTACAAAGATAACATATCAAATGTTGAAACTGAGAAATGTTATTGTTTTTTGAAACATATTTTGGACATATTATGTCCATTTTGAATTTGATGCCAATAACAAGTTGGGACAAGGGCAACAAAAGACTGGTAATGTTGTGTTATGCTAAAAAAAAAAACACCTGGTGGAACATCTCACATCTAATTCGGTTAAGTTCAGGAGGGGTTCAGGAGTAAAGGGTTTCACCACTCTGTGACAGATGGCATGGGCAAATAGCGCAACAATTCATTAATAACATTTCTCAGTGTAAAATAACAAAGAACTTCGGGATTTCATCATCTAGAGTACATAATGTCATTAACAATTTCAGAGAATCCTGAGAAATCTCTGTATGCAAGGGACAAAGCCGAAAAACCAATATCGGCTGGCTGTTATCTTCAGGCCCTCAGGCAGCTCTGCACTGAAAACATGCAATTCTGTAGTGGAAGTCACTGCGTGGACTCAAGAACACTTCTGAAAACCACTGTCTGTGAACACAAATGCAATTTAAAACTACCATGCAAGGAAGAAAACATGCATAAACAGGATCCAGAAACACCACAACACCACCTTCTCTGGGCCCGAGCTCATTTAAGACGGACTGAGGGGAAGTGGAAAAGTGTCCTGTTGTCCGACGAATGAAACAATTGAAATTTTTTGGAAATCATGGACGCCGCGTCTTCAGGGCTAAAGAAGAGAGGGACTATCCAGCTTGTTAAAAGCCAGCATCCATTATGGTATAGGGGTGCATTAGCGCACATGGCATGAGTGATTTGCGCATCTGTGAAGGCACCATTAATACCGAATGATATAAGCAGGTTTTGGAGCATCATACGCTGCCACCCGGATGACGTCTTTTTCAGGGAAGACAACATCAACTCTGCATTTATTCTGCATTCGTATTTCTGCATATATTACAGCAGCATGGCTCCTTATTAAAAGAGTCTGGGTGCTTAACTGGCCTGCCTGCAGTCCAGACCTGTCACCCATTGAAAACATTTTGCATTATGAAATGAAAAATATGACAAAGGAGACCCTGAACTGTTGAGCGGCTGAAATTCTATATCAAGTAAGAACGGAAAAACATTTCACTGTCAAAACTACAGCAGTCAGTCTCCTCAGTTCCCAAACGCTTACAGAGTGTTGTTAAAAGAAGAGGTGATGCAGCACAGTGGTAAACATGCTCCCGTCCCAACTTTTTTGAAACATGTTGCTGGCATCAAATTCAAAATGGGTATATATTTTTCAAAAAGCAATAAAATTTATTTTTCAATTAAATATTGGGTTTAAATGATTTACACATTATTGCATTCTGTTTTTATTTACAAATGTATTATTAATGAAGGTTCAGTTGAGTATGCTTGCAGACAGATTTTCCACTGAGAATGGGGGGTATGCCCTCCTTGCATATACACTTTTCAAAAAGACTTTTTGTCTTGGTGGGCCAAAGTACAATGCCAAAAAGACAAAAAGATATACAAATAAAGACATTAGGTAGGTAAGAGTTTTCAAAAATGTATTTTATAACATTACACTCTATGTTGTTGCTAAAATCCTATATATATATATATATATATATATATGTATATATATATATATATTATATATATATATATATATATATATATATATATATAACAAACATCTTCACAGGCCATCTGTGGCGCACGGACCACGCTTGGTCTGTTGTAATCTGGATGAGGGAATCAGAATTATAACATGGATTTATTGCTATAAAAATTCAGTCTGCAAGAATTTGCAGTTAGTGTTCTCCTCTAAGCATGTTGTGCTGTCCATTGACTGTACACAGGCTTCACTCACTCAATTTGGTGGCGTTGTGTGATAAGGGGCTACCTAGGTAGCTGGCAGGAACTGGCCTTGACTAAACTGGAGGGAATATTGGCAAATATATAAACAAACAAACAAACAAACAAATTCTACACCAGGCTTTTTCAGCTCCATGCTTGATTCAACTCGTGTTAATTGCCGGGTTTAGTTGGTGTTTTTTTTTTTACCAAGCTGTGCTGGAGGCAAGACCTCAAGGACCAGAGTTGCATACCCCTGATCTAGACTACAACACTGATATACGGATCATTGGACTAGACTCATTTCCATAGTTGTGCTCCAGATTCATTCTGCTCCTTCCAACTTCTGAAGCCAAAACCACATGTGTTTTGAAGCATAGCACCAACAGACATAATATGTGGTTGAGCAGACTGAGCTTGTTCTCTTTGAGGCGATGTTGTTGACAGATCATACAGCATGGCTGAATTTACTGGAAGTAGACGTAAATGGAAGCGTTTAAAATACAGGTGAAAGTTATTGACGGTTAGAGGTGATTCTTGGGTAAGAGGTCATAATTTTGGCTTTAGCTAGTGTGCCTTAGGGAAAACATTCACACTTAAAGTTCGGCTGAAAATAGCTATTTGCCCATACTCCTAAACATTTGTAACAGATATCAGAAGCAGCTCATCCTCTTGGCAGGATCTGTCTTCTGGAGTGACAAGGATGTGTGTAAGGACTGGTGGGGCTTCTCCAAAATCTCTTCCTCTGCAGGAACCAAGCGCTCTGGCTTAAATAAGTGCCTCTGGGAAAGCAGCTTCCGTCTCTTCTCTTAATAGAAACTATCGAGAAGCTGCTCTTCCGCTCTGATCTGAAATCAGTAGTGCAGTTTGTATTATTATGGCCTTGTTTACAGTTTAACTGTGGGGTGGCTGTTATGAGATCAGTGTAAAAGGGAGAGTTCTACCTACAGCTAAGTATAACCCTGCATGTGGTGGGATTCTGCTGATGCCTCGGACTAATGAGGAAGATGCTTAAAGCTGTCCCGGGGTGACAGATTTCTCAGGAGGGAGAAACAGGAAGTTGCTCCATGTGACTTTGGCCATAATGCTACACTCATGTTAGCCACCACTGTTTCCGCTGGACAGCTTACATTTCAAGGCTGCATTCCTGGTGGCCCCGAGTCCCTCTCAATCACTAAACTTTTCTTACAACATCTTTTAAAATGGGCTTATAGCACATTTAAATGGGGGTAATTATTATAACCGTCATATCAAAATCTCTTATTTTCTGTAGGTTTTTATTTATTTTTTGCAGCACCACTTGATAATGCCAGCTGCCTCTTATATTGTGTGGACACTTCATGATGAACGGACTGATAGATGATCCAAAATTACTTGGAGTTAACATTAACATACCTTACAACATTAACATACATAAAAGTTACTAACTTCTCCTGTAAAGTTACAAAGATATCAAAGGCAAAACCATGCTATGTCTTCAGCATTAATGCTGACAAATATTTTTTGCTTGCAATGACCTACATGTCTACATAATACTTCTAGATTACTATAAGCAACATCATAACACGTAACCATCTCCTGAACCTCAGGTAGATGCACCTGGGCCTCAAAATTGTTTTTCTGATTGGTAAGCTGGGAAACCTATTCACTCTACCACACAGTGAAACGTTACACCTTGACTTGCACTTTCTAAAAGTAGCCTGGGAGCAAAAGGGCGCATCCCTCCACTTGTCACCAGTTTAATTCATCTTCAGTGCAACATGCTCTGCTCCACTCGCTGAGCACACGCAGAGCACCATAATGCTTCATTTTGTAACAGCTTTGATTTTGTGGGATGTATTCTACAACCACATATGCACTTTTCACCACCATTATAGAGTTTCTGTCCTTCTAAAGGACCCACAGCCTACATATTTCTTGTATTTTATCCCCCTGCCCCCCCCCTTTTGTGTGGTTTTATGTACTAAAGACAACATTTCATTTTTATGTAATCGTTTTCCAACCTCTCTTTATCCTTTAGAATTGCACAGGCTTACATTTAATATCATTGAGACTGATCTATGTAAATGACCTCTGTTCTGATTGGCTGACCTGTATTGCATCTCATTCAAAAAGCAGTCCAGGCTGAAACACTCCTTATAACTTCAACATGAATGGATGGTGCCAAACTACAATAGTCTGAATAGATGGATATATGTAAATGTATAGTTTTTCATTACAAACAGGCTGTTTTTGAGGCTTAGTTTTCTCCATATGGATTGTTCTGACTGGGGAGAGAATGATACATTTTGAAACTAAATCAAGCTAAATAAAAAAAGTGTTTTTCTGAGATTTCATAGTTTATGACAGTAAGCAAAACTGGCTAAATGCAGCCTAGCAATACGTGCTATTTTGGAGAAGATATTTCCATACTCTGTGCTTCTGTGTGGAGCATGATGAGGAGTGGAACTTTAAGTGTGGCCTGTAATGGAATAGGTCCAAGCTAAGGTGAAGGAGGGGTCCCTCAATGTGTTTCCCATATGATTCCCTTTGCATGCTCACTGCAGCTATAAATACGCTTTATTGGGTTTAAGTGGAATTAGTGAAGATATTTGTCGTCAGCGTAACTATCGATATACTGTGACAGCATGGCTGAGGTGTAAGACATACACTTTACGCATGCACAAATTTGAACTCTAATGAATATTCATACAGAGCACTCACAGTGCTGTGCAAAAGATCGAGAACATCACTCTTAAAAAAGATGGTTCTTCAAGGGTTCTTTGATCAAGACAAAGGTTCTATCTAGAACCATGAACACTCAAAGAACCATTTGCATGCTTAAATGATTCTTTGTATGGTGAAATCGTTCTTCAGATTGATGAAGAAAGAGCTGTACAAGTGGTACATACAGAACCTTTTTGAAAATGATTCCATAAAACACCAAAAAGCTTGACATCATGACTATAGCAGAGCCCCTTTTGGTGCTACTTAGAATATATTTGTACACTAAGGTTCGGTATAGAACCATATACAACACATTCTCCATCAATCTAAAGAACCATTTCACCATGCAAAGAACCATTTAAGCATGAAATTAAATTTGTATCAATATGAAGAGCCTCTTACCTTTCACAGTGAACAATACACTGAGAAGACACTGCACACATTTCTACAGTAAGAAAATGTAAACTTTATTGTACATTGACATTTCTAGTTCTCTGATTTATAGACCAAAAACACATTGACTGCCACAGTTACTTATTTATTACATTGCTGATTTATTTGAGGCTCTGATTTGCAAAATAAACATAGGCCTCAAAACCATTTTGCAGACAGAGAATTTAGTACAGCGATGTTAGCAAAACTCTTTTAATATAAAATCTAAGCAAAAAGAGAAGAGGCTCCTTTAATATTGTTCTGCATAAAATCATCACAGTTTGTCTGGTTTGAAAACTATACGTTCAGATAAAAAAAGGAGGTTAAGACATTGAAGCGTGTAGAACGTGGGGCCCCGCTAAGACATTCTTTGCTTGTTGGATTTGATATCTTTGACCTGAGAGATCTGCAGTTACAGTAAACATTGACAATAACAATCTGGATTAAGAAGAGGTTCCAAGAAGGCTACATGTACCAGGTCACACCGATCAAGTTCTCTCTCAGCGCTGGAGATTCATATGACAGTGGCTGATTCTGGTTTCAGACTTAAGGACCAATGATCAAATGTTGGGCTCCTACTAATCACCTCATAAACTCATGTGCAGATGACTCAAGTGTGCAGGAGCATGAGGGCTATGAGGAGACACAGCACCCATTAAAGACATAATTTGGCATTATAGTAATTTTTGTATTTCTGTGTTCCCCTGTATTACTGGCAGATCAGTATTTTAGACTTACTGTAAATCCATATCACAGAAATTAATATAAATTTTGACCAAATTTCTTCCCAAAAACTCCTGACATCAAATGAGATTAACAAAAAATATTGTTACATAATGTTGCATTAGTGAGAACAGATGTGCCTGTGTAAAGATTCTGTAAAGCCGTATTTTGGTTGTTTGTTAATTATGGTATAATTCTACTTCTATCATCATAATCTCCTAATCAACTCCATTAAAATGTTACAAATCACTTTGGACGAATAAAAACATAAGGACGTACGATGATATCGGAATCATATCGGTATTGGCAGATAATTGCGTTAAAAATTATTTCAGCATTAGACAGATGTTTATATTTGACCAATGTTTCATGCCAATATTGGATGAGATATTAATTGTACTCTAGAAGAGCAGAACGTTTAGGCAATACGATACTAAAACACCAGCATTTTATTCTTTTTACTTGCTTTTGCAACTCAAAAAAAAATTCAGACTGTCAGAACAAAACCTTGTATCTTCAAAAAAGTAACATTAAAGCAGAAGGAAAAAACTTTCTTTACTTTCAATGTAAGATAATGTAGCAAGACTTTATTCTAAGTCATTTTGGACCATTTCTATTGGTCCATTTGTTACAAAGTTTTTAAACAATGTAAGTGGCGACTAACATTTTCAAATTTTGTAAATAATGACAAAAATTGAGATACAAGGTTTGGTTCTGACTGTGATGAAATGTTATTTGTCTCTGTAATGCTAATGCTAAACGTTTAGTCCCAATTTATGTTTTATGAAGGTTTATGTATCACCATCATCATTGGCATTGGCACGTACATGGAAAATATCGGATATCAGCATCGGCTCAGAATTCCCATATCGATACGTCCCTAAAAAAGTACTGATTAGATGACTGTACATAGAAATAAATGGAGAGACAAATAAAACACATGGAGAGCAAAATGTGTGACATCAAATGCATCTGAAAAACTCTCGAAAAGATTCAATTTAGCCAGTATCCCATTGTAAGACTGTACAGCTATCAAGATATTAGAAGTGAACCATCTACTATACCATCTAAGATGGTCGACTCTTACCATTTTACTGAGAGTGGTTCAAATCCTGCACCACATTGTTGCTTTGTGCATCACCACGTTTGATCATTAACTTAGATGTTATTTCTAGTAGTAAGTGCTTTTGGGTTCTTTTGTGTTTGTCACTTGAAAGTTTTTCACATTTAACAAAGAGAACAACAGGCTTGAGGTACAGTTATAATAGCAAAGTAATCAGCAAAGTCCAAGTGAAAAGCCTGCTCAGTCAAGAGGAGAGAGGTTCAAAGACGCTTCCACTCCACCTGACAGCAGCGCAAAGCTTCCTCCATACAGTTTCTTCCTCAGCAGGAAGTCTCTTTTCACTGATTGTTTGGTCTTCTTCAGAAAATTCATTGTTTTTAAGCATATGAAGGTTTTGATTTCTCAGTCCATTTTATATGAGGTGGAAACAGTTCAACTTTAAGGCTGTAAGAATTTCTCAAGTGTAAACCACAGCTCTAAGAAAACGAAATGTCAATAAAAAAAAAATAAAGAATTGCACAAATAAACAGAACAAATAGCAGAGAAGTAAAACAAATTGATTTAAAAATAAAGAGAAAGTAGAAATCATTTTGATTTGTAAAGTGCAAAAGTAGAAAATAATCTTGTAAATAATCTCAAGACTGTGCCTTGAGACCCAGAAAGTGGTCTTTGTGGAAAGTGCAACTCGAGATCAGCACAAGTGAAGAAATCAAAAATAGAAAATCAGCCTTGTGATAGCCAGTCAGTTTGGCCTCAGGACGTCTTCCGTATGAATACAGGCACATCTCCGAGACCAGCAGGGTAGCTTTGGAGAAGCGTCCCTCCATCAAACACTTTAGCGTTGTTCATGTCCTGCCATTGAAAGTCACTGTTTGGCAGATAAATGTCTCTCTGCAAGGCTCCTTTGTCTGTGACTGGTGCTACAAGGACCTGAAAGAACAAATGTCATAAAAATGTAGTGCTTTTGGCAGGAGGGCACAACTCTGTTTCACAGTAGCTACTACAAAACAAAACAAACTCAAAATCAGCAAAGGATCATATTTAAGTTGAATAGTTGAAGTCAACTTGAAATGAAAATGTCCTTACTTGTTAGTCACTGATCATATTAAAGAAATGCTTTGGCAAAAAATCTAAAAACAAACCAAATTTCACTGTGAAGCTGAGCGCAGCACACAGGCGTAGGGACGTAGGGACAAACTTACAGAAAAGGTTTAGGTGACTATTGGGGTTTGCCAGCAACATCGGCTTCATAACTACAACGCTAAACTAAAGACCCAAAATTTGGACGTGTATATATATATATATATATATACATATATATATATATATATATATATATATATATATCCAAATTTTTTATATATATTTAAGACACGTCCAAATTTTTTTTTGCTTAACCATTCTTTAACAATATATCACACCATGTCACTTGAAAACAAAATTCTTGTTTTCCTGTAATCTTTGTTCAAAATGTACTAACTTTTGTTCACCTCTAAAACATTTTATGTGATGACCTCTGTGTGTTATTATGCGTTATGATTTTCAGTTCGTGTTGACTTTTTAAAAAGCAGCATGTACATTCCTAATTTATTTTGAGGACTATTTACAGTCATGTGCTATTAAAATGAACCTATTCTTTTTTTAAAGCAATAGGTGGACCACAATGAAAAGCTCTAGGCCTTTGTCATGTTTTTGTCATGATCTTTGGCGATTTTAATGTGATTTAATGGTACAGTGTTATATGTATATATGTTCTCATTCATTAAAACGAGACATCTGTCATATTCTTGTATTTTTTCGTTTTTATATATTGTATATTTTTATTATAGCTTTTATTGACTGGTGGGGTGGATGCTCACCTCATCTCCGATGAGAAACTCATCATCAATAGTGAACGTGGCTGGATCCTCAGGACTGACCCACCACAGTGGACGGTAGATGGGGTTTCCATTGACCTGCCACTCTTCTGCATATTTCTCTATCAGAGGCACCACAAATTCCTGGTGCTTAGCTATGTAGACTCTGGTGAGGTTAAGGACCTGCAGGGCAAAATGAAATTATCAGTGTCCTGAAGTACTGAACTAGCATGGAAAGTGAAATGGAGTAACAGTTCACTGTAAGGCATTAGGCTATATGACTACCATAGGCTTGTCATGAAAACTGACATAAACCTACATAAACATTTATAAAAGCTTATTCCAACAGGAGTCGTCTGTCATAAATGGCTGTTTTTGTCAATTTTGATGTCAAGTTGACATAACATCTACGTGACTGATTTTTTCTGGCATTTAAATTTTCAGATGAAAATAAAAATTAAAAGTAAAAGTAAAATTAAACACATTTTGGCTTAAGAGGAATTGGAATACTACACTACAGAAAATGCTCACTCTTGTTCAGCCAGCTTGATGTGGCAAGCTAAGTCTTATCACCAGCTTTTTGTAACTATGACATACATACATCCATCATTCTGTCTTTGTTCATTACTTGTAACTGAACAATCAAGCTGATAAGACTATATTCTCCTGCTTCCTTCTTTGGAGTGGTTTGTTGGACATGGATCAAACAAAGTTTTAGACTAAATTGCAATGCCAATAGTGCTTCTACCATTAGAAACTCTATTTAGTCTAGGCTTAGCCTTCTTCTGAGTCTGGGAAACTGGCCATTGGCGAGCTTTGCTGGTTTGCAGCAATATATGCTAGGAAAATCCCAAAAAGGTTTGAATTTAGAACAGACATATAATGTAAAACTTCAAACAGATCGGCCCTCATTTATTTTCCGTTTTTCAGTGCCAAGGGATTTAAGTCGCCAGCTTTCATACACCTACAAGCATTAACTATCAGAATGTTCAGACAAGTCTTGCAGTTATTACACGCTCCTCCATTTCATATGGAAAATGGATGTGAATATTTTTCGCATTTGCGGTTTGACACTATCCAAATGTACTTCTGCTGTGGAGCGTTTCGAACATTCCTAGAAGGGTCACATCCTTAAGCTAACATCCCATTCGGCCTCTGGTGACGGAAACAAAGTAAAACCACATTCATAAAAAATGTATTTTGAGGACGAGAAAAGGCTTTCGTGAGATGAATTTTGAATCGCTGCCTGAGTTCAACCTAATTTCAGATTGAGAAAACAGGCCTGTGGTTTTCATTCTGGTTATATTTCTATTCAGACTCAACATGGTCATTGATTTAACAGTCTCTAATGGGCATTGGAAACACACACACAGTAAGTCAATATCTCATCACACAGCAATGAGTGGAAAATAAAGCTGGCCAGTACGATTTAGAACCAACTCAATGTTGTTTGACATGATTCCCACAACTATAAACAACAACAGTATAATACACTGCAAAAATGTATATGGAGTGAAAGCACTGTCCATTTATGTTCCCTAAAAACAACATATTTGTCTGTCATGACAATTACAACTGAAACCCTTAACTGCCTCTGTAAATTCTCTTTATCCTTCAATTCATTATCATTCCTGAGTGCTGCATTGACGGTCATTATGGTCAAGACCGAGGGCCGCAAATTTGAAAGAAAAGCTAATGCAGACCAGATGGACTCCTAACCACAGGTAATGTTGGGAAAAGGCCAAGCAATTACTCCCCCAAAACGCAAGAAAAATAGTCGCCTGCAGGATCCTCTACACTTGTCCGAACCTTGAACCGCACTCTAGAGGCTCAAAGATACCAATACCTGTGAGTAGATACGCTGGACACAGAGGGTCAGATATTTTTCTAACCTTCATTGAGATATGGTTCTCACAGTCCCACACAGTCAGACTGAATATTGTATTCCAGCCTCAGCAGGGGAGAAAAGGCATTCTGTCAAATCAGCCCTCAAACTGAACAGAGCACAGGTGGAACTATAAGCACATCTTTTGCTGCTCTACACACTTTCTGAACTTTTTTGAGGTTGTCATGCCATTACACAAAAACTTGTACACCCTGAGAAGATCTGAGAAGAAAGTCAACATGGAGATTAAAAAAAGCATTTAACACTGAACTGACATGTTTTGCATGTCCTATCCTGATTGTGTGGTTTACAGTCAGTTGTTGACGGTCACAATCAATAGATTAAAATCAATTACCTAATTTAAAAAAAGAAATGGATTAAACTTTCTCAATTAATCAACTTAGTGATTAGTTTGCCATTTGAATGATAAACATAACATCTGCGGGTCTGAATATCAACATATAATACAGACATGAAGCTCTGTGACCTTGAAGTTCTGCCCTTTGGTTTTGGTGGCACAAACCTTTAAAATAAAATCAATTTGTAATAATGACTTGATTGCTAATATAATTGAAAGTCACAGTCCTACTTATAAGAAAAACATTTTGATGGTGGATTAAAACTATGTAAGAATTCCTGTTCGTCTTTTTTAAAGACAACATGATGTATGGTGTAATTCAAGTACTAGTAAAATTAAACCTGAGCTGAAAGTAGTGGAATAAGATCAGCAGCATGAGTGACACTTACTCACCTTATCATCTTCAGATGCCCATGGAGGTGTCTGGAAACTGAGAACAGGCAGAAAGGCCATGATACCCAGCCAACGAATGAAGAGCTCATCATCTGTTACTAGCTCACTGGAGAGAGAACCGCCTATAGGCCAAAGGAGCACGAGACACAGATCACAGGCCACATTCACATCCAGATTCATTCAAAAGTTATAAAATATGTAAAGTGTACACTTTTAGAAATAAAGGTTCCTAAATGGCTCTTGGTTTGAACACACATTTCTAAGGAAAACCTTTAATGGGTAAAGAACTTTTACATTATATGGAAGTGCATTAAACATATGAAGGTTCTTCACAGTCACACACCTCATTTACAAAAATTGTTCTGTCTAGAACCATTCACTGAAATACAGTGGCAAAAGGAATATTAGAGCTAGACCTTTAGTCCAAGCTATAAATGTCAAAACTAAAAAACAAAGAAAAAACACATCTATAATAATGTTATTTTCTGCTGAGACCCCTTGTTAACTCAGGTGATATGATTATGTTAAACTCATGGCAGTTTAACATTTTTTGGCTGTTCTAGATTAAATGCAGACATTGGCAGATTGGAAAAGACATGCCATGTTTTATTTTAAACTTGCAAAAGATATGACCATATATTTGTCCTTGTAGAGGTTTTAAGGTGACTCATTCAGTAAAGAGCCCTGGTGTAGAGTTGCTGCTGTTTTCCTTGTCTAACATCTGATTGGAGGCTGTAACTACATTAGGTTTCCACTAGTACTCGCAGTCAGTAACATATCTAGAACTTCCAGAAAGCCTAGAGTGATGTTTTTTCCTCACCCATTGGAAATCAAAACGTGATTGGTTGATTCCACTGCCAGTTTCTAATTATGTTAGTGGTTAATCTGATATGTTAGGCCTTCAGTCTAGCTCCTGAGGGCCTAACCAATGGGAGAGATCACCCTAACTAATGGGAGAGCTGTATCTATCTGAATACTACAAGGAAGAAATACTTGATTGGACAGTTTTCTGTTTCAAGACCTTAACCCTTTGGTTTCCGACCAAAACTTACCAGTAAAAAACAATACTTGCAGAGTTTACACACAACAAGCATCAGGATTATATTCAATAAAAATATACAAAAATTTACAGACATGTATTTTTTTATTTCACAGAAATCATTAGCTGTTTTCTAAAGGCATAGCAGGCCCTGAAGGTTCCCCACGGTCCTTAACAAACCAAAAGTGGTTATACTATGGCACTGCACCAAACAACCTTTTCGGTACCTTTATTTTTGAGAAAATAAGAGTCAGAAAGTATTAACAATATGCTTATGATGGGGTGCAGAGAAAGCTAAATGAACTGGGGAACAGTGTTATGGATGTACCCAGAACCCACGTATTACCTACGGCATCAGGAATGAAGAAATTATAGCCCAGCAGGCTGTAATGCAGCAGGGATGGAATGATGCCCTTGAGGCCAGCATAGCTCCAGTCAGACTGCAGTGCACTCATACGGATGAACAGAGGTTTATGGCTGGACCTGCACCCAGAGAATCACAGAAAAGACTGTAGTGCTTGTATCAAAAAAACAACATTGTTGGAATGAAAGGATGGGAGGAGTCAGTTGGTGGATGGAGTGAAGGTAACAGTGAAGTTAAATTAGTTGTTCATGGTGAATGCTTACCAACAGAGGGGCATTTAGGCTTCACAGGAGTAAATATGACCTGTAGTTGAAACTTTTAGTCTTTTTTCAATAAACTCTTTAAAAGGGCCATATCCTGTATTTTTCTTGTATTTTATTTTGTACTTTTTGTCTTTCCTGAAGTTCACTTATGTTCCCAAAACAAGTGTAATTTGTTCTTACATCACCAGTTTTCATCCTCTCTTTATTATTAAAACAGGCTGTTGTTGTTTCTGTGTCTTTAAGTAAATATATGTAAATGATATCTGCTCTGAATTACTGTTCTGTGTTGTGCCTCATTCAAAAAGCGCTCTTTGTAACTTCAGTGTGAAAGGGTGGGTTAAACTGCTGCTGGCTGAACAGGTAGATACATGTAGATGTGCTGGTTTTTGTGACATCATACAATCAATTCAAAACCGGCTGCTTTTCCAGCTTAATTTCCATATATGTATTGCATGGATTACACACTTTTTCATGACATAGGTCCTTTAAACTGTAAAGGTTTGTAAGTGGGCCAGCACTTCAATTCGTCTGTCTCAGAACCACAAAACTTACATATTAGTTTTACCATGATTGAAATGGCTACTGGATAATAGGCCTTAAAGGGCCCATATCACAGAAAATTGAGTAAAAAAAATTAACTTTGGGTAAAAATAAATCAAATAAAGAATAATGTAGTCTGCTGTCTAAGAGGTTAAATCTTAAAAAATAATAAAAATTATATAATTATTATATAATATAATAATAAAAGTATATATATTTATATTATCAAACTTTGGCTCATACCTTGTTCCTGCACTCACAATGGCATTGTCTCCTATCCTCTCAGCAAGGCCTGCCAGTAAACCAACGTATTCATCTCCTGTCAGGGCAGGAGGGGGCCGCAGGGCCTGTTCCTCAAAGGGGTTTCCCTCTCCCCCCTCCAAGATGACATACTCCATCCCCAGGCGACTGTGCAGACTGCCCACTCTCTCCAAGAACCAGCTGATAGCTTCTGGGTTAGTGATGTTCAACTTGACACAATACTTTCCTCTCCACGGAGTTAACAGAGGAACCTAGAGAGAGAGAGAGAGAGAGAGAGAGAGAGATGAGAGAGAGAGAGAGCAGATAAATGGTGTCCAGATGTCTGAATTGGTTTGTGGATGAAAAACAGATATGCAGACAGTCAGGCGTGTACCAGTCGAGCCTGAGGGCCGGAGGGCAGGCTGAGCCAGTAATCCTGCGTCCCGTCCTGCATGGAGGTCTGGAACTGCTGGGAGTCCACACTCAAATATGGGGACAGGGTTACGGAAATGTTCAGAAGCTTCACAAAAGGGAGGTCCCTGGTCTGTCTCTTCAACGTTCTTCTCCTGCCACTGAGGTAGTCATGGTCCTGCAAGTCAGTAAAGATGGCAACTGTAGTCTTAGTATGACTATTCAAGGTAACACTATGCCCAATGTTCTGTATTCTTTCCAAGAAAGTGAATGAACATCACACTACTTACAGAAAAGCAATTCATTTTGCTTATTCAGATTCACCAACGAAATCATGGAAGTATAAATATTTCCTTATTTCACTTGAGATACATGACTGATAATCATAAAACTGACATAAAAATTCAGTGAGCTACAGTCTTATGCAAAAGTTTGGGCATCTCTGGTCAAATAAGTTAACACATCCACTTCTGCACATTTTAATACACAGTTACTGTTTATTTACTGAATTTAATGTATTGGGGAGGAAAAAATTATGGTAAATTGAGCAAAAGCTACAGTAAATTTTATATTTTTATACTTTATTTTCACTTAGAAGATCACACACACACACACACACACACACACATACACCTTTTCTAAGCCGCTTATCCTTCTGGGTTGCAGGGCTAAGATCCAACACAATGTAATTTGACAAGAAGTGTTGAAACACAAATAACACAAATGCTCAGATTGCACTATTAACCCTTACTATTACTTTCTCTTTGCTATAATATTCAGATAAGATTTCCTAATAATAGTGTTCTGAATTGCATGAGTTACTCAATGAAAAACAGTTACATTCAAATTACCCAGTGTACTGACAAACTGAAGCCTGCATTTCCAACTTTTTACAATTTGTGAACTGTGTTGTGATTTTATGAAGTAAATAATAAGTCAGGTAAGGGCACTTGCTCTGTATGATGCTGCTACACCTGTACCAAAATGTTGTAGCATAATTATGTATGACTCATTGGGCTAAATAGCCAGTTGTCTTGTACTTTGGATGTAGCACTCCTCTTCTACTTATGAACACAAATGTGTAGTTTGTGTTTGTAATGTAAACTTCTAACAGAATTCTTGTTTCAATGAGCTACAAGTGAGAAATTATTAATTTCAAATTACACTACTTTTGTTGCTGCCAACAATAATTGACTTCAGTGGGTTAAAAAGAGTTGATTGACGTATGTTGTGTAAGGCCTTGTTTACATGGAGAGTCAGTGCTGCAGAAACACTGGAGGCCGGGGTTATGTTTTCACAGTCTTAGCTAAATGTGGCTAAAGGTTAAGACTAGAGTGTGAAGTCTAATGTTATTGTTATGGTGACTTGTGACACTATGGTTAGCATTACAGCCTTATCTCACTCTGTGGATTACAGTTCAAAGCCTGGACTGCACCTAGGCCTAGGGGTCAAAGGCCAGTAATAAAGTAGCTAGGATTAGAGATTATGTAATGAGTAACAGTGGCGTAACACCATACAAGTTATGTATGTTATGTACGGACAAAGTTAGCTCACATGTTCTGCTCATAGCCTAACACTTCTTTCTGAAATATACTGGCCAAACAATTGACCACCTCAGCACACGCGAAGGAGGGGGGGCAGGGGGGAATGGCTTGTTATGAAACCTGTTTGGTGCCAAAAAGCATGTTTCTCCAAAGACTTTCATTCGAAATGACCTTTGTTTCCAACAAAATATTTTTTTCTTTCCAAACATTTCAGTCTCCTTGTCCTTGTTTTGTTGTACTAATTCTTTTTCCAGTCATCATTTGTTTTGAGAGCACTTTGAACATCAAAAAGGAAATTTATTTTTTTCCTTTTCTCTTGGGTTTTACATCATTGCTCATACATGAGCATAAGCGAACACAGCTTAGCTGTTGTCATGACTACTGAGTTGCATCAGTCACTCTGCGTTTCTAGTGTGGTCACTCCTGTAAAATTTACGACTTCTCACTGGCTCAAATGTTGGTGCCACAAGAAAGTCCACATAGAACAAGACGGCAAGCTCTGGGACACATACGGAACTGTGAAAAAGTCAGAGATCACCCTTTATTTTTAAATTTTCAGTCAAAATAGCCATGAAGCACAAGTTATTTAATTTTTCAGTGTCATGATAATAAGTAGACAAAAAATATTTAACAGAAAATTACACAGAAACTCAACAACATTTTTTCCAGTATTTAGTGTGTCCACCCCTTTTACAGATTATGTTTTTGAGGAGACTTGCTTTCAGTTTTTTAAATAAATCTGAAAGGATATTCTTCTACACCTCCAAAGCTGGTTGCATTTTCTGCTTCTCACAATCCAAGAAATCCCAATTGCAAATTTAATTAGTCCATGAAACCTTATTGCTCATCTCAGGTGTCCAGTTTTGGTATCAAGGTGGTATTTTTTTCCTTTTTTCAGTAACAGCTTCTTGACAGCTACACATCCTTTCAGACTCACAGTGTTGAGTTGTCTTCTCACAGTAGAAGATCTGAAGCAAGAGTGGAGCTTGATTTTCTCTTCTCTCTAAAGTTGAAAGCTTTCACTACTGTTTATCTGAAGGGAACAGTTTGGGTGGGCTACCAGGTCTTACATGATAAATAGGAGCACAATTTTCTCTGCATCTTTTGAAATATTTGGAAAATCGATTTTTTTCACCTATTTTCTTTTGACTTTCCCTTTCCTTATGCAAGTGGATTATCTATCTGTCTAATCTACTCAGACTTATCTCCTAAAAAATGAATAACCTGTTCTTAATGGCCGTTTTGACTGGAAATTAAATAAATGAAGGGTGGTCTCTGACTTTTGCACAGTACTGTACTTCTGGGTGTGCATTTGCTACTGAGCAAGTCCTATAGAAATAAACAGATGCTACTGCTAATGACTGTCTCCATGGCTATAGTACTTCCATGCTACAGAACGACCAATCATCTGATACCACATCTTCCTTCCCTGATGACAGCTGTCTGCACAACTGCATTCTCACTCAGGTTTGAAGATGAACACTTAGCAGCTGAGTTCACCTCAGGAGCAGTGCTTTTTGTCTTTTAGGTGTCATCATGTATAACAATATGTGACCACTGCTGCGCTAGAAAGCAGCCAGGCACTAGTGATGAATGGCAAAAGTCGGACTTAACACCTTGGAAATCTTACTTTGCTGATTGCTTTAACAGTATGGAAAATGTTGTCTTTAAGCATCATTGGAAAAAAAAGATTTCCGGGCCTATTAATGGATTTACCATGACTCAATCTAGAACTGCAGCACAGTGTCTATGAAAATAAAAAGAATGGCGTAAGCTTAGATCAATCATTCTGCTCGGCCACGATCTGCGGTGTGCTGTGTAAATGAAGGATCTGGGCAATAAACAGAGAACACTGGCAAGCATGTTTATAACCAGATTCAATCCAAGTCAAGCTGTTGGTTCTGCTTATGACTGTTATTTTAAGCTAATATGGAAACTAGAAAGGAAAAAATAAAACATTGCATGAGGGCTGTAGTTTTCTCAAAATTTCATGAAACTATCACAAAGTGAAAGGCTTTCCTCAGTGATAAGACATTTATTCAGGACACGTTTCTACTCTTTAAAAACACAGATGAGTTAGTGTGATTGAGTCAACTCCCAATCCCAATTCCACCCCCAAAAATAGGAAAAGAAAGGGGGAACTGAGTTGCATTTTAAAGTGATGTGAACTCTGAATGACTGAATTTAATTAACCAAAGTAGGAAAAAATCCAGGAGAAAACTCAAATGGCTTTTAAATTAACCTCAATTCAGTATATGAGTCTAATTATTGTAAATAGAGGTCTACCAGTGCCCCGATAAGCCTTGTAAGTATGTCAGGCACAGAGAACATTCTCTTCCTGGGAGAGAGCAGGTTCTCAGCTCTTTTCTTCTCATTCCTCCTCCCATTTACCACCTCTAATCTTTCGGGAGGAGTTCAGCAGCGTGGAAAGAAAAGTAACCCCAGTGAAGTGACGGACAACGTTTTTGAAATAACAGCCAGTGAACTCCTGACTCCTCTCTGTGGTATATGAGCAGCTTACGGCATTACTGTAATATCAAATTTACCTGAAGAAGTTGGTCTTGGCGTGTTGCCTTACCCTTCCTATTCGAGCCAGCTTTTATTCACAGCTGCCCTGTTTTCACTCAGGCAACATGTGATTAAATCTGGCTGAGCAATTGGGTCAGTTGTCTGTTTGGTCACAGAAAATATTCAATTATAACAGAAGATTAGTCTGCCTGATTTGTGCATAATCATACACAGTACTGTGCAGAAGTCATTTATTACGTTTCCAGTCAAGACAGCCATTAAATGTAAGTTATTCATTTTTCAGGAGATATTTTTACTTTTTAATTATTTTTTTAAGGAGATATCTATTTGTATAAGAAAAAAAAATAATACAAGAAAAATCTGAGTAACTAAAAACGTGAAGCTGCTGGTGGTCTCAGAATAACGTACTGGCCAGACCTCAACACGACTGAATGTGTTATTACTTGGATCGTGAGGAGCTGAAAATGCAACAAACTTCTACGACTCAACTTTGGAGGTGTGGAAAAATATCCCTGCAGATTTCTTTGATAAACTGAAAGCAAGTCTCCTGAAAAGAATGGAAGCAGCGATGAAGGCAAAGAGTGAATACACTAAATGCACTAAACTCAAAGAGCTCAGATTATATTTAGTTGCTGTGGCTTCTTTGTAAATTTATGTTAAATATGCGTGTTCTGCTTTTTTCACTTAAATAACTTCCATTTTAACTGGAAATTAAACAAATAATGGGTGGTCTTTGACTTTTGCAAAGTATAGTAGGTGAAAATAAAGAATACATTTAATAATTGCCTTCTCTCTCTTACAATTTGAATAGCGCTTCCCATTTATGAAACCCACAAAGTCTTAAGATGAGTCTGCATTGTTAACTTATGGTCAGTGTCATATTTAAACCTTGGAACTACACCATTTGAAAATGTACACTGTAAGAAAATGTACACTGTATGAAAATGTACACTATATGAACATTTCACGATGAATGGATCAATGTAAATAATCCCATATTAAATAGGAAAAAAAAAATTAAGCAAGGACACATTTAAGTCAAGAATGTAAGTTTGTTGCATCAGTGATGATACATAAACGTAAACTAACGATTATTATCATTGTTGAAAAAAGCAAATCTCTCACACCAGCCATACACTAGTAGAATTATGCTGTATGCATAGCAGCGGCTCTCCTCAGCATAGCAAACTCAGTGGAAACCATTTCCCTCCCTGCTGACATTTCGGTGAACCTGAGAAGCGTCTCTGTATCTCTGGGGAGCGGGCCCTGCACCTCTCTGACCTCTACTCGGCTGCTGCAGATCCGCTTAGAAAAATAAAACCTTTCAAGTCTTAGAGCCACTGACTAGCACCGGACCATTCCTCAGCCAAGCTGAGGTTAATGGGCCAGCTGGTGGCTTTTAATGTCAGATGCTTATACACCGACACACTAGGATCCTGAGTCCCGGACTATTCCTTCCTGCTATCAAAGCGGAACGGCTCTCGCCAGGCCCCAGCCTGTGGCATTGATTAAGATCAGTAACTTCACAAACTTCAAAACAGACCACACGGAGACTTCTTCTGCACATTTAGCTTTCCTCATGCAAACCTGGCAGCCTGACCAAACGCAGGCTTAACATTTTTAACAGGCCAAACTAAGATTTATGTACCAAGAGTACAAACGTATTAACTCTTCTAAATCCTATTAAATCAAGGAGGCAACATCTCATGCATCACAGTACATATGGAAGAAAATATAAGCCTTATGTAAAAATCTTTGTTGATTTTCTAAGTGAAACTAAGTTAACACACCCTCTACAGAGAACACACTTTTCACAATTACTGTTTACTTGTTGAATTTAATATATTCAGGGGAAAAATATGTTAAAATCAAACCACTGGGATAGGCTAGAGCACTGTACATAACTCAAATGGATAAGCAGCTTAGATAATGTGTGTGTGTGTGTGTGTATGTGTGTGTGTGTGTGTGTGTGTGTGTGTGTGTGTGTGTGTGTGTTAAAATCAGCAAATAAATAGAAATTGTGCCCTAAAATTAGCAGAAATATGCTGTATTTAATTTTGCTATTTTCACTTATAAAATCAACAAAAAATATGTAATTTGAATGAGGTATTTACATATTATTTTTAAGCATTTTTTAAAACATAATTTTACATTTTTTAAAATATTTAAATACAGGCCAATATTATATATATATCAATGTACTGATATATTTGTAATAAGTAGCTTAAATATATGTAATAGTCAAAAACACACATCAGTATATTTTAAATGTGACACATATTTTGAAAAATATATGTAAATACATTCCCTTGGCATACAGGTAATAAACACACATTTGAAGCACACACACGGAAGAGAAAAATGTTAGGAAAAGTAAAATCATTTGCATATTGTCAGACTTATCTGACAATTGTCAGACAGTTTTACAGTGACTCAGTTAATAGCCCTATCCTATAGAGTTGTAACAGCTGTTTTCAATTTCTAACATCTGACTGAAACCTTGTTACAAAATGAATTGGTATGTCCCTCTAGGATTCAAAGCGAAATTGGTAGATTCTGATTCCACTGTTACTTTTCAATTATATTTGTAGTAAATCTAACATGTAAGGACTTCTCCCTAACCAATGTGAGAACTCACTTTACCGAGATACCACATACAAAAACTAAATGATCATAATTATAATAAAAATTATAATTTTCTGTTTTAAGATCTTAACCCTTTTGATTCCAACAAGAATTCAACAGTGAAGTTTCTATCATACCTGCAGACTATAAATACAAGCATGAAGACTGAATAAAAATGAAAATAACATACATGCATTTTTCAGTTCCCAGAAATTATTAGGCCTCCTCTGAAGGATACGTGACCCAGAGGGTTCCCCACTGGGTAGCTGACAGTTAAGTCTGTCCCTTCTCTTTTCTTTGTTCCTAGTTGGCTCAGGACCACAGAGGCGGAAGTTGCAGCACCGTTATTCAGTAACTCCTTCTCTCGAGCACATAAGTGGCCGTGGCAGAGAGGCAGCAGTTGAAGGCCAGTGGGCCCACTGCTAAAACAGGTGCAAGGCTTGAGGCCGCTGACGGACAGAGATTAATCAGCTCAGAGAACAGAGCTGCCCAGGCCCTGGACTGAAGGTCAGAGCCTGAGGGAACACACTGCTAACACTGCATAGCACTCACAGTACCAACCACGGACGCAGATACGTCCATCTGATTGCTGGTTTACAGTGTTTGCCTTGATTTTCTTTGGTGTTAGGTGTTATTCAACCTACCTTCCACTCAGGACTTTTTTCAGAAAAAATAATAAAGATCAGATTTTTGTCTTTCTGAAAGTGGTTTACTGGAAACCTGACTTCTAGTTCTTCGAGTCCTGCTGGCAGAATGAGTGAGGGCGAGAGAGGAACCACTAAGAAAGGAGAGAGTGACCCACCATGTTGGAGAGGAGAGACGTGGAATGTTCGTCAAGGCTGATGACCCCCTCCCCTAGGTGGTGCCTCTTCAGCCGGTTAGAGAAGGTTCTCAGCTCCCTCTCAACCTTCACCCCTGAGTCCACATTTGCTGGAAGCTTCCAGAAAGGCAACCTTGACAATGAAAAAAAAGAGAGCATTACTGAATAAAGGTCACAAGAAACAAACTTTACAGGAATTCTTTGAACATAATGCAGTACCAGTAAATGCTTATCAGTAACAAAATTAATAAATACAGTCAAATGCAAAAGTGTGAACACCTCTGGTCAAATGAAATGTTTGACCACATCTTTTACAGGGAACAAACTTAACGATCACATTTTCAGCGAATTTAGCACATGAAAAAACCATAAAATATAAAATGTGTCACAACTTGGGCACAGTTCTTCACCCCAATATTTTAAATTCAGCAAATGAACACAAATAAATGCAGCAAATTGCAGATTAAAATGTGCTGAAGTGTATTGTAGAGGATGTGTTAACTTATTTTCATTTAAAATCAACAAAACATGTCATTTGACCAGGGGTGCACAAACTTTTCCATACGACTGTATTTTGAATGTACACTCTTAAATAAAGCTGCCAAAAAGGGACTTTTGGGAGTGATGCCATAGAATGACCACTTTTGGTTCTCTAAATAACTTTTCAGTGGATGGTTCTTTAAAGTAAATGAGATGTATGAGCGAGAACAATCTTTTTAAAGTTTAAAGAACCTCCATATAACATAAAGGTTTTATACCAATTAAATATTTTTCCTAAAGCTGTGCATATAGGAGTATTTATTAAAGATGTACAGATAGATGTAAATACTATTTTACTTAATTGTGACTATTCCGTACCGTAAGACATTCATGTTGGGCAGTTCTCGAAAGGGCACAGAGAGCTGTTGCACTGCCTCTTGATGGACAGTTTTGACGTTCTGTCCGACGCAGACGGTGTACTGCAGGGGCATTCGCTCCATACCGGGTGCCGTCTGAAGACAGAACTGCTGCCTGCTTTGCACCCCGACATGCAGCGGGATGTGTGGAGACACCAGTACTGCCACACCTTCGAGAGAGCAAAATCACACACAGCTTGTAAATATACAGCTCTTTAATCTTGATCATGCTTCCAATGTTATATTTGAAGTAATGTTTGGCACTGGATTTATACCAATAACTGTAATTGATTCTGAAAGAAACAGATTTCAGATTATTTCAAACTTGTTAATACTTGGTATCTTAGTTTTGTATATGTTGAAGAGTTCTCAGAGTATGGTTGCCGATCTAGGATCAGCTCTCGACTGTCTGCATAGGCATAAGTACAACGGTGTGTATGGCTGTAAGAAATCTTTTTCTGCACGTAGGTCGACTCTGATGAAAATAAGTATGTGTACGTACAGTAGGCATAGTTGCCACTGGGAATGCCAGTGTCATATTGATTGATGGGTTGATTGATTAAACCCATCTGAAGTAACTAGACCACTGATAAACGGTCAGTGGGCTACACCAGCACTGTGTTCAGAATGGTTTACGCATTAACTCATTCACTACTATACAGCATTTGCTATACAGTGAACTGATTGGAGAACAGCCATGAAACAAATGAAAGATTTATCACTGAGAATTCCAACAACAGTACAAAATGACTGACACTTGTGCACTATTTCTGTATTAGGGAGCAATTCCAAACACAGCTCAGGAGTAAGGAATTACGACAAGACACACGTCATTACTGGCTACATGCCTTTACGGTGAAGCTGAAAGAGACAAACGAATTTGGGCAACACTTTACCTGAAACCTGCCACATATTACTCACATACCAACGCCATAAAGATGTCATGCCATATGTCATATGCTGTCATGAGTTATCATAACAGATATGTTCAGTAATACAACAGTGTCATGTTAGGATTAGTGTTAATTGGAGCAATGTTGGTTGTTATGAGAGCTAACTACAGCACACTTTGCAAAAATAAGCACATGAGGTGTCATGACACTAATCATTATGGCATCTGTCATGACATTTATCAATAACAGATAGAACTGATAGAATAGAACTGTTATATTACTGTACAATATTTGTCATCAACTCATGACAGCATATGACATATGCAATGACATGTTTATGGTGTGGTTATGTCAGTGTTATGTAGCAGAGTTCAAGGAAAGTATTGTCAAAATTTGTTTGAAGTATTCAAAACTATCAAGGAGAAATACGGAAAGTAGATCTGATAATAGAATAATCCACTCTATTAGGACTAACTTCAATAACATTATGGTTTTATAGCTATGCATCATTCCAACGGTACAATGGGGTGACTTAGCTAGTGATTGGCTGTTAACATTAGCATAAGCTGTTGCCATATAGAACTTGGTATGTCCAACATAAAGACAACTTAACACCTATGGTATGAATTGCTGCTATACTACTTGTATGAAATCATGTCAACAATAACTTGAGTCTAAAAATGGTAAAACACTGAAAGTGAATATTTAACATTAACTAGCAATATAACACTATTTTTGTATATGTGTTGGGGGTGGGCAGGTAGGCCCTGCTGAAAACACCAGCAAAGAGCAGCATGAATCCCACACTGGTCTAAACAGCACACCAGCATCAAAAACACAACATATGTCGGTTTTGCTGATGATCAGCACAGCCTTTTTTTCTAGCAGGGGCAGCAGAAGTGGGTGGGCTCCAACTTTATAGTGTCCCCCACCTCTGAACCCAAAACTACACCCTTAATGTCCATACAAGCACATTCATTGGGATGTAAAAAAAAAGAATATTTAAAAACAAAATAACTTTGCAGAATGCTACCATATTCTGTTAAGTAAACCCACGAACATCTTTAGTCCCATCTTTAGAGTTGCCCCCATAAAGCAGGCCGATCAGGAGACACGGTGAGAAGTATCAGGGAGATTCCAGTGTAGTGACGTAGGGAAAGGGGCCCTGGGGCTGCATCAGCACATCTCTGGGTAGTTAGAGGTGGCAGAAGCATCCGCAGTTACTCCACATAGCACTGGGTGTATTCCACTGTGGGAAGGGTCTACCGGTACGTGTGCTATTACACATACAAGTAGCTGTTTGTGCAACAAACCATAAAGTCCACGTGTAAATTCATCAGTCTCATAACTACATAAACATACTAGCTTCACAGCAATTATGTATAATTAACACAACTCACTGAATATTAAGTCTTAAGATTAATAACTGAATAAGCTTGCAGTGTAGCAGGTCAGAAGTATGTAACAGTGGTATCAATGAGAGTTTGAATGTTAAACACAATTTTAGCCTAAAAAGAGTTTCACACATAAAACGCCACCCTGTAGCGTTAAGATGGCGTATCCCTGCACCCATATGAAATGATGAAATTATGGGAAGCAGATAATTGTGTCCACAGATGTGGCTGCCCTCCCAGGAATTCCTACTGCCTCTCAGATTTCTCAACCATGTCAGAGTACCCCTTCATGCAAACACACACACATACCTCCACATGTCTCACACTCAACCCAATACACTGTGAAAATCCCCCATACGCTTCAGACTGGTCTGATGTGGCCCAAAGTCCTCATACGCAGCAGTACACGTTCAGTCAAAGCAAAACAAAAAAAAAAAATCTGCCCCCACCTTTATAGCCATTTCTCACATTTACAGAGTATATCAAGCTGAGACCAAGGCAATTTTCTGCTTTAAATCAGACCTTTAAGCATTCATGCACTACATCTAGAGACCAAGCTCATGGTAAATTGGGAAATCTCCAAAAAAAAAGTGAAGGGCATAACCAGAGGTGGGCAGAGTAGCCTAAACATCATGTAAAAGTATTGTTACTTTGGTGAAATAAAGACTCAAATAGGAGTAAAAGTACTTTACAATGCAACCTGAGAACAAAAAGTGCAAAAGTAATAAAAAACTACTTTAAGGGCCCATATCATAGCAAAGCAAATTTTCCTCACCTTTTTGAAATAAAAGAGATGAATGTAGTACATAAACACTGTTAAAGTTTCAAAGTATATCATTCAGCGCAGGGTCAGGTCAGTCCATATATGGAAACTAAGCTGCCTGTTTTGAATTAATTGTTATTTGTGATGTCATGAAAACCAAATCATTTACATATGTCCACCTTCTACAACCTTCAGCAGCTTAGCTCACAACTTCACGCCCATGTGATAAAGAGTGTTTCCGCCCGAATTGCTTTTTGAACACAGGACAGCCAATCAGAACCAGAATCACTTACATATAACCATTTTAAAGGCACAGTAACAAAAAACAGGCTGTTTAGTTTTTATGGATAAACAGAGGTTGTGACTTTTGTGACTAAAATGTAAGTTTAGTGAGTTTAAATGTAAGTGAGTTTAAGTAGATTCCTAACACTACAAATATATTTGAGTAGAAGTAAAAGTATTGTCTAGAGATAGCACCAATCTAATACCAGGTATCAATACTGGGCCAATATCAGCACAAAATGCTGGATTGTATATCAGAGAAAAAAATGAATAATTCTGTAACAAATCTATTCTGAAATATCACAGACTTACACTGTGTGATCTGATGTTAATCGTGTATTTCTTCCGGTGGGGTAGTAGACTGTTTGAGTAGATTGAGCATGATAGCCTATTTTAGATGCGGTATCATAATCTGTATGATATTCAAGGCTTCATTATCAGTATCAGAAAATTATTACCATTTATAAAGAATCAAAACTGACAGTGCAAATGTGTAGAAACTGGATAAGCATGTCAGAAAGACATCCTTAACATTTTTACAACTTTCCTGGATATGAAATCTTTTCCGTCCTCAATGGAAAAATCAGGCACACTAAAACAAATATTCTCTCTCTCTCTTATAACTGATATGAGATTCCTCTAAGAGACATTTTCAGACCAAAATTTACAGGAAGGAAACTATAAATACAAGTGATAGACAAGGGCTGGAAGCCCACAAATACCCTACAAGTTTGCCCAGTGCATTTTATGGACCATGAAAAAAATGTCATACATTTCAGATTAAAGACAAAAAGAAACACAGGGAAAGAAGATCAAGTGGAAAAAGTACAGGCTACAGAATGTATGTGTGTGAAGTTGTGTAGACCTGCACATGGTTCTATTTTTGATATCAATAGTGCGCTGAGTTAACGGAGTCAGAGAGAGCTTTTTACCTACGAGCCTTCAAAAGCCTAGAGGCCCCTTCTCCAGACGTGTGTAACATACAGGAATCTGCAGAGGAGGGAATCAATAACTGTCATTTGGTGAAATTTAAGAGACTTTTAGCTTGAGTTATGACCAAGGTGGGCTCCTAAGTGAGCAGCCTCTTATTTTTAGAACAATTCCCTACAGTAAATAGTACCAGCTTTGCTGAAATATTTTCCACTAGGGCTTTAAAGGAAAGATAAATGCTTAATGGTGTCTTCCTCTCCCTTTTTCCTAAGAGACTTACAAACCTACAAACCAACAGACTTATCCTCCCATAATCCTTTACAATGAATAAATAACTAATTAACTTACTTCTTTCTTTTTTTATTTATTCTGTTGTCATACTTCTTTTGATATGTAAAGTACATGATCCTACAAAGATATAAATTCAAAAAATTCAAAAATCTTATTTTAAAGCGCATTCTGAATGTTTGTGCATGCTCGCTCACAAACTATCACAGTGCGTCCAGCAATGAAGACAGCATGGTGCTTCTTTTATGCAGTGATGGGAAACAGAGTGGCACACAAAGTTCTAACTTCACATGCTGATTCATTTTACTATAGCCAATGTGGTCATGCACACATCACAACTAGTCTGGGGACAGATTTGAAACAAGTTCAAGGAGACAAAGCAAAAGTCTCAATATGTCAAATGAGACAGGGTTAATTACTCTCATATACTAATTCCTGTTTTACGTTTTGTATGTATTAACTGAGCAATTCAACCAAACTGAAACCATATTGACACAATTTAAACAAAAATCACAGTACTGAACAATGTCTGCGCTTTAAACTGATTGGTCATAGAGTTTTGTGGTGTTTGAGGTCGAAGAACACCTCTGTAGATCCTCACTGGGATGTGTGGATCAGAG